CACACGGAAACAAATATTTATTTTATGTTAAACATAAGTGTGTTGCTGTGTTCCCTAAAAACTGAAACCCTGAAAACAAAACATTTCCAGTCGCTCAGAGGATGGCGTCACTGTCGGCGTCTGGTCGATGAAACACTGCTCTCATCAAAACTTTTCAACATCTCCGCAGCTTTGCTTTCACCAACTGTAAATAAATACTCACAGTCTCATGAGGCTGGTGTGTATATCTCCGTCTGTGTGTGTGTGCGCGTGTGTGTGTATGAACACTGGCAGAAGGATATGTACACAGCAGCAGGATTACCACCCCCAGACTGAGACCACCCTGACTTTAACACTTAATCCAAGAGGAAGTGAAGCTGCATCACAGACCCACTCAGGGCCATCGCTCCTGCTGCACACACACACACACACACACACACACACACACACACACACACACACACACACACACACACACACACACACACACACACACACACAGGAATCGTGTTGCAATGGAGTTTGTGTCCTCAAATACACACATATGCAAACATACACACAATAATTTGAGCACTCAGGCTAAAACAAAACAGTCCAGATTTATCCTGCACAGCTGGTCTTTTACAGATCCAGCATGTTTGCTGAATGTGTCATTGTCAAAGTGACCTTGTTTGTGTGTGCAGAGTGATGTTACAGTGTTAGTGTATGTCTGCTGTAAAAGACATTAGTGAACTTTATGTCTACTTTCAGCTGTGTCAGCACAAATATCGCTAACAGTGCTTATGAAGGTGCGCGTTTGTGCATATACTCTGATTCGCAAAGGTCCCTCGAGTTTTTATAAAGTTGAGTGAGGTCAAGTATGTATACCTGATGTTAAAATGTCAATTCTCATGTAAATGAAATTGTAAAATTCTCCCAGTGGAAAACACAACCACAGATGCACGCACACACACACAGTTTAACCAGCTTCACCAAAGGTCCTAAAACATGACCTGAACATGAAGGAAAAGATGTGGATCAAAGTTTCAAAAGCAATGAGTGGACCCTTCTGTTTTGAAGTTTTGGTGGAGAGGAGCGAAGCTGAACAGAAAGCAGGAGTGGATTATAAAAAAAAATAATCAGCTAACTCATTAGCTGGCCATTCAGATGGTTAATAACAGTGTTTTCTACAGTATGAGATTATTTTTGTGAAGTTAGCAGACTAGAATTGTTTATTTATTGGGAAAAGACACAGTGAGGCAACTGTATAGAAGGAAATAGCCCATAAGTCAGTTAACAACCTGTTAGCCAAGCACACTGTTATACGCCCTCTCTGATATTCACTACAAAAGTCCTGTTTTTGAAAGAATTTGAGGCAGATTTTGTGCCAAATTAAGACAAAGGGGAGACGGCACACCAGCGATCACAGATTCATGTATAACTGGAATTAAAGCTGACTCGCTTCTGTGCACATATGGAAGTAGAAACAAGGCAGGATATTATTGCTCCTCGTCTTTGATATATAATGTCAGGAGATGAAGTTGTTTCAGCTCTGATCCATCAGAGGACCTAACGAGGCTTAACAGTAGTATGTACGCACAAAGGGGTGATGATAGTGGAACGTTATTAGGGCACTGTTGAGGATTGAAAGTGGCTTAAATTATGTTTAACTGTAACAATTTTAATGATTAAAATCAGTGAGTTGTTTTTTTAAAAAATATGTAGCAATATGCGCTCCAAACTGAAGAATTTCTGTCCCACACAATTCTGTTATTAATTTACATGCATAATTACACCGTTTGGTTTTGCACCACCTTCATACACAATTTGCAGTTCGTTTGACAGGTCTTTCTTGCACTGTTATTCAAATTTGAGTGTAATTTCCCAGTCTTTTTTTCTTTTTGCAAGCATCCAATGTTCATTTTGTATCAAGATGATTCAAAGATTTAATTTAAATTCTGTAGGGGTATAATTTTTACCTTTGCACATTTTTATTTTATACAGACTTGACTCAATGTTTTTTTTTATTTTAGTTTATACGTGTTAATTATTACCTTTTACGCTTAAGTTAAAATCTGGCTTCTTGCACAAGTCTAAAATTGGCATAAGTTTTTGTTCATGTGTCAGATGTCATGTGCTTTGTAAGGTTCTGGATGCCTAAAATTTTCCTCAGGATCAAAAAAGTACGTTTTCATCTCAATGTCTGTATCTGATGAAACTGCCTCAAGGGTCTGTTTGATGAATTACAGTTATCATCACTTTCAAATTTGCTTTATTTATGTATTTTTAACTCTGAAAATTATGTAGCATTTTTCATAGGTCTGTTAAATTCTGCTCATTACTATATACTGCACCTTAGAATTAATAGGGTAACCTATAAATATTCAGACATGTACTGAAGAGACTTAATGGTGAAAAATATCATTCAACCTGCACTCATATGGTCTACGAAGGCTGCTGCTTTCTTTTTGAGCTGTTTACCCTTTCAAAGCCCCCTAAGAAAAAAAGTAATGTTTAGAAAGGTAACAAAGGTGTCTAGCATGTGGTTGACTGTGACATGTGCGTTGAGGTCTGGTATTAATTAGATGGAGGAGGGTGTTCATAGTGTGACACTGCTGACTGGCCTTTCACAGCTCATTACATGGTGTCCAATCAGGAGGCAGCCAGCGTGACTGCTGTTTATTTATACACAGAGTTGGAAATGGCAGAGTGCAGGCAGCTTGGACTAAACCTCAAACACTGAACACTCCAGCTCATTGTAATGCTGTAAAAAGTCCCAATCAACACTGTGTTCTTACTGACACAGACATATACAAGCTCTCACAAGCACTCACAGTAAGAAAGAGGAAAGGTGGTGCAGACTTTTTAAAAAGTAGAGAGAACAATATTATCCCAGAGATGTATAAATAGTTGCTGTTGAATTTATATCATGTCCATCTTTTTTAACTTTATGGTCTCTGGGAAAAATACCAAGCGCCATGTGTGTTGAAAGCCTTAGTTTGAGCTTTTACTTGTTTTTTCCCTACTGTTTTAAACCCCAAACCAACTTTCTATAACACATTCTCATACAGATCCTTGTCAGCTTGGCCCATTTCTGGAGAAATTGCCTGTACCAGCCCAAACAAAAGAATCAAGGCTATCAACAGCAGCAGGCACGAGCAATTGCACCATGTCATTCAGTTTGAGACAGTAATAGTAGGCATGAACATGGATGTAATAGCACGACATATTAAGAATTTTGGCGGCACTTCTACTTTGCTGTCCGAATGCCCAGTTCATCAGCACTGTCCACAAATGCAACACATATACCTATTCCTCTGCCTGCAGGAAGGACCACACCATCAACAGGAATCAATTATCGATTGATTTTATTGAAGCAGTGATTCAGGATTAGTCACAGAACTTCTTGCTGCTGTCTGTTTGGGGCAGCTTATTAAGGGATCCATCAAAGCTCCCTGGAATGGCTAACACACCTTTGTTGGGCCATAAAAATAGGATAGAAGGATACAGAAAGAAAGTAGGTGGGAGGAAAGGGTGCAGTGTATGAGGATGAAAAGGTTGAAGAGGAAAAGTGGTGCAATTCAGGCGTGGTCCTGCTCTTAAAACCCTTGCTACATAGCATCACTTAGTTTTATCATGTATGAATTGATTTGACTTTTTCATAACACACTGATAGTTAAATAACAAAATATACTTCAGTGCTTCTCTATTTGAGATCATTTTACACCAAAAATGCTGAAAATTATCCATCAGGCACAGTAATGACTGTGGAGCCCCTCAAAGGCTAACAATGTATATTTTTCCAAGGAAAACATATTGTACTAACTTATGGGTTTTTGCAGTAGATGTATACAGTAGATGGAATGCATTGCGCCATTACACGCAAGTGAACATCCCAGCCAATCATAAGTATACCACCAAAGTGGCTTATGCCTTGCTTCCACTATGGTATGTGACTGATGTCTGAAGAATTATTGAATGATGCTCCCAATGTTCAATGTGAGAAATTGCATTTCTTTATGGAGAGATGGAAACCTGAAATAAACAAACTATTCTTGTGGTATAGGCTTATGCAATGGATTTTGTAAAACTGATGATGAAAACCTGAATGTATGATGTACAACTATATGATCTTGGGGCGGCTGAACTACTTCTGCATAACCTATTAATTTCATGAAATGAAAGCCAAGAGTATTGGATAAAAGGATTTTATGAGCTTCTGTATCATCTTTCACAAAAAGCAATCTGATTTTCAGGTTATCAGTCTTAGAGCTGAATCAGAACTAGTCAAGGCTGTAAACACCTCCCACTTTTAATGAATGCTTAATTTTTGTATTTGTAGGAAATGACCATGGTGCTATCTTTGACAAGGGAAATGACTGGATTCTGTTCAGTAGACTTCAAAAATATTGGCTTTGACTGGTAATTCAAGTTACAAATCTCTTTGAATCAGTATTTAGAACATTTTGTCAGCATAGCCAATTTGTCACAAAGCAGAAAGATGTTTCGTGGTGTCCCTCAGGGTACTATTCTAGATCCTACACCTTTTCCCCTTACATTAAGCAGCTTTACTGTATGTTTGCCTGTCAAAGTGAACAGCAATCTGTAACACATTAAGATGCCTTAATAAAGGCTTTGTAAATTTTTTTTTTTACCTTATTTAAAGCGTTCCAACATACAGTACCACACATATAAAAAAAGAGAATAAAAATGAATCTTTTTACCCCCAGTCCATTTGTATTTTTTCAGGCGTTGAAATGTCTTCTCAAATCTGAATCATTTCATGAAAATATCTTGGTCTAAGTTCTCATTGGACACTGACCAGATGCATTCAAAAGTCTATAATCAAGTAATCTTATAATGGTTGCTGCTCTTTTGCCAGTCATTGTGGATGTAGTGGATGCAGATGTAGCCCAATGCTTTTACATTCACCAATCTGACTTGGAATGAACTGTATTGCACTGATGAACAACTTTGTGGTGTTGCCCACCCTTGTTGGAGACCACATTCTCATGAGTTAATCAAGAGGGCAAACCCACAAAAATGTAATATAGTACTTTAATGATAAGCTCCACTTGGTTGATACTTTTCACAAAGTCAATATGGTTGAAAAGGTGTTTACATGCAGGCAATAAAAGACAAACTTTGGTCAACATTTCACAACAGATATTCCCAATGTAGAGAGACAGCATATACTGAACAAATAAGGAAAGCATCAGTGTAACATTATTCAGAAGATGTTTACAGTGTGTGGGCAAAATGTAGTGCAAATGGCTCATGCTGAGCTAACAAGTAAAATAAAGCAAATATAGATACATCACCAGAGGAACACAATGGTCTAAGAGGTCTAATGAAAACATCTCCAAGTTTTAGAAAACCACCTGGACCACATGCAAAGAGACACATAACAGAGTCATCAAAAACTGTTCGATGATACAGAGGATTGCATGGTTTTCTATATGAATCATAGAGTAATTTACTGCACATTCAAATGGGAATAAAGTCACGACACTGTTAGCACACTTTGAATGGCCACAATAGAGGCTAGATGTTCAGGAGCACTTAAGGGTCATAACGACATTTAGACAATTATTTTCCTATCTGGAACGACTTCAATGTCCCATTACAGCTAACATTTATACATTAACAATTAAAGGTCAAAAATTCACAAAAATGACAGGAGATCAATTCTCACAACACAAAGAAACATGTACAATATTTACAAAATGGCTTCATCAGTGACATTTGATTCAGAACAGATCAATCTGAATTGAAATCCAAACTTTTAAAAAGTGCATGACTTAGGTATCCAAGTGGGGTTCACCATCATTTAAGAATCATAATCTAATGTTTTCTTCATACATTTTTGTTTGGATTGAGGGACCTGTCTGTGAGGAGTATTGTGAATGGACGTACAATGCTGCCCCTCAGTGGATGGACAAAGTAGCACAATTTTTTACTTCACAGTTCAGTCACTCATACTACATTTGCTTGACGCTGGTTGCACACAAAATACACAAATAGATTCACATGGAGCACGAATTCTAAAAAACTATCACCTAAATCCAACACTGAGAACACCGACAAGACTTAACTGCATGCAGGAGCTGTTTATCGAGCAAGGGGCGTTTGCAAGCTCTGTAATCGCATTAAGTCAAGCATAAGTGGGTAGAGTCGAAGGATAAAGAAAGGAAGAATTATTTAATGGAAGGCACTTTGGATGAACAATGTGTCAAATTGTGTATTAAAGTTTCTCAATAAAAACCTAAAAAAAATCAATACAACTTGATCTCAGTAAAATGGGTAATAAATCTTGTTAAGGTTGGTTGGAAGACTTTGTTGCTTTTTCCTTCCCAAAATTGAACAAGACAATCAGATCCACTAGCTGTTTAATATCAAGTTATGGCTGGAAAATGCTAAGCTTAGCATAAAGGAGGTAGGGGCAAACAGCCTGTTCGGAAAATGAATGTCAACTCGACTACAATCTAAAGCTCTCGAACCCCCATCTTACACTTTATTTTGAATAACATGAAATTCAAATTGCAGCTTGTCAGATTTAGCCGCTTAATGCCTTAAAACAAGTCTTTTTGGCCTAAATGAACATCTCTCCCTATAATACAAACACTTCCAAATGCCCTTCGGGGAAAGTAAGTACATCAGTGACATGTTCTCTAGTTTACTTTCCTAATGGTGCTTCAGTTTGCACAAGAGAAAAATTTTACCTGCAGTCCACTAAAAGAGAGACTTAATCCAACTCTGCTGATTGCAAATAAATAGGCACATTTTCTGCAGCAGCAATCAGTGAAGAGGATTTGGAAAATATTCCCATTTTTGATAGAAAAATCCAACATTACATTCCCTAAACACAAATTTGTGGTTTTATCATGTAGCTTATGCCTCTAACATCCACAGTTTTTCATTTGAAACATAACCTTGCAGATTAAACAACCGACATTTATGTATATGAGTCAGTTTTAGGGGTACTATTGAGTGGATTTAAACCTTCAGATGGAGCCAGGTTTGCAGTTTCTCTTCCCATATCCCAAGCCTTATGCTAAGCTAGGCTAAGTATGTCCTTGCTGTATCATTATATTTATCATACATACATAAGCAGGGAATATTCTTGGCTTATTCGCTGCACCCATTTCTCAAGATGTCAAACCTATTCTGTAGAAACATTTTCAAGGTCAGAGATTTTGCTGTTTTAAATGCTGCTGGTAAATAACATCGTACAAAGTCACATATTTCTGTTTTCCACCAAAAAGGATACTACAGAATTCAAGAAAACATGGACAAGCATCAGAGAGTATGCAGTAATTAAGTCAGCTGATTGAATCTGACACTAATATAGTTATAGCAGATTAAAATACAATGACTTCTTATTGCCATTTACTCTGACTGAAGTACAATGAAAAAATGTAACAAGGCAGAACAATAGATAATTAGCACACATTGTTCAAACAGATACTGTTAAACATGTAACATGTCATAAATATGGTTGCCAAGGAAACACAGAGTAGCATAGCACAGAGGATATATATTCTTCACACATACCCAGAGAGTCTGACTTCACACTGAGGCTGTTTATGTTCATACTGGATGGTTTCCCTTTGTACTTCTATTTTTTTTCTTCTTCTTGAGAGGCATTTCACGAACAGAGGCATTACTGATATCGAAGTATACACCAGCTGGGGACATTGTGTTATTGCTGATATGGAGGGGATGCAAAGGAGAACTGCCAGGTAACAGGAGGTTTGCTACAGTATGACACAGATCATTACTGTGTATTCGCTGCTTTTCGGCAATGCACCACACAAATGCAACAATGGAGAAGCAGACAGTTGTTGGGATATTTAGCTGAAAACAAACTGCAGATGTGTGTGTGAGTGTGTGTGTTGTCAGTCTTTGAAATACAGCCCATCCTCCGCAAACTCACTCTGCCGCCATTTTCTCAATGTGGTCGGTCAGCAGCTTGTACTGCTCTGGGAAGAGATAAAACACAGACACCTATATGAAGCAGTGGAGCTATTTTTGAAGAAAAAAGCAGCCTTTTTCATTGGATTTAATAGCTGGAGCTAAAAAAGCTTCATTGTTACAGACACTTAAAAGCTAATACGAAAAGCTTAGTTTGTGTTGATCTGCAAACCCTTGTAGAAATATCAATTTGCTTTCTTAAAACAAACCGCTTATCATGAAAAAGCTGTTTCTAAATAAGTAAGGTAATCAGCCCACCTGACTTCACAAATAAATGACAATGATCATATACAAGACTTTAGTCATGCTAAGGAAACAGCCTAAAGTTAATTAAGTAATATATACAATGCAACTACGTGTTTTTCATGTTTCAGGTGTATTCTTTTACCTTCATTCAGGTTGCCGATGACCGCCTGCTTCTTCAGGAAATCACTGCAGAGTTTTTTACTGAGCCCAAACGCCAGCATGTTGTGAGTAAATGTCCTGAAAATTCACAAAATGCGAAAGTTATTTACTCTAAAAATGAAATCGATAATCAACAACAAAAATGAAATAAGTACTCAAAGTAAGAGGTACAGCTTCTGCTCATCCCCTCTTCTCCACTTGGAAGCTAAAATTTCCAAGAGAACCAAGCCACACTACAAAAAATGTACATATCTGCCTATCTTACAATAAATTGAAGCTGCCATTCAGGGTTTTGTTTGACAAGTTTCCATGTTGTTTCAAGGATACAAAAAACAATACTGTGCCAGATTCGCACCTCACCTTCTCTTTATAAGATGAAAAAGGTGAAACTTCAAAACACTGTGCACTTTAAGCCTCACAAAATGAGACAGAGGACAGCTTAAAGGTAACTGTTGTCTACAAATATAAAGCACAGTTAGATATACTCTCTGCCTTTTGGATGAGATATGTCAGATCTTACAGCGCCAGTGGGACCAGTGATTTATTTCACTTCCACATCTAGCTTTATTGTATTTTGTCTTTTGTTTTGGTTTGATGATATTTTGGTGCTCTGCTCTCTCACCCCAGTTGGCCGAAGGCGATGTTCTCATCGATTTTCGAGCTGTCGTCCCTCTCTTCTGGGGTCATATGACACCACCTCTCCCTACAGCACAGAGACAGACAGAGTCAGGTTTTGTCCTTCAGGCTCTATCTGACCTTCAGCTCCACTGAAACAGGCCAGGGGTGGGTGTCAACAGTACTACATACCAGTGCTATAGTGACTTAAGCAGTGGTGCAACAGACTGGAACTTGTTTTATACTCATCTGTAAAATGTTTGACTGTAGGTTGGTAGGTTTGGAAAGAAGCTCGGGGCCCACATGTGAAGAACTCATTTGGTGTGGAAAAATACCTTTCAGCTCTGATTCAAAAGTCAATATGATTTCAAGACTGTGGTTTTGGTAAAACTGGATCATATTTGATGGGGTTAATGTTTTCTCGCTTTCTATCTCATGTCCCTGAGTGCTTTGTGTGAACTCTCTGGGGCTTGAGGAGGGTTCTTGTGGACAAAATGTTCACTTCTTGCTTTTAGCCACTTGGTCCAATCAGTACAGAGCTGTGGTACCCAGGTATCTAATTACAGTGACTCCAGCCAGGACTCTGAAATTAAAGACGGGTCAGAGTTACAGCAGAGCGCCAGGAGCCACAACTCTGAAGAACCGCTGTAATTCCTTCATTTTAATTCAAGTATCTGTATGCTTTAATGGTTATCTGGTGGTCACAATTTAAATTTCCACCTGGTATTTTATTTGAGAAAGAAATTAAACTGAAAATTTGGCATGCACACTCTCTGGAGTACTTTGGAGTCTAGATTTGAATAGGTTTTTCATATGTGGCACATTTCCACTTCCTTCTTCACCTCCAGAGCTGTTTTAAGGTTAAATACATCCCTACAACCCACATAAGGAAATTCATGACATCCACCCCTGCACCTTTGATTATTGAAACGAGATACAAATAAAGAATACATAACATTTCAAGCACATAAAAAATGTCAAAGGGCAAAAACCACGTCCACCAGCTTTCAGCAAAAGAAAAATAATACAACAAATGATTAATTCGCAAAGAATCATCATCATATACAAGCAGATGAAAAGCAGTGATCTGGTATGACAAAACCACCTTCAGCTGTTGTAGATCTTTACATGCAAGACTATTAGTGTTGAATCTTACGGTTTCATAAAACATACAGTCATAAATTGTTAGTCATTGTGGGGAATAAAGATTTTCAGATGAGAGCTCTTTAAAACCTTTGTGCAAAACTCCATATCCATTACAACAGCTGTTAATGATTAGGTTACTAAATGCTGTTGTATGTCTGCTACAGGAAACAACATATTAAATAAACACAGAGTAAAAAAAAACAAAAACATGTTTATGAAACTACAGTAGAAAGAGTCAAAACCGCCATAACTTTCTCACTGAATCAATTACAATATTTTAAAAACATTCTCGTGTATGATGCCCACTGCAAAGACAGAGCCATTCTGAATCATTTAACTTGCAGTGCCATGTCTGCACCATTAGGGGCACCCTTGAGCTGTAATCCAAAGACCCACTTGCTAACCGCATTGTCTATTTGTTGTTTTAGACAGTTAGCTTCTAAATTCAGAATTATTAAGGGCAGAGGATTAATGACCCACCCCAAGTAAAGCTTGAATGGTAAAAGTTTGTCTATGTCTGCTAGATGTGTAAATAGGTAGCCCATGACACCAACAACCTACTAGGTGTTGGCATAACTACATGGATGTCACTGCTGTAATGACCTGTGGTTTTTACACAATGACCTTGGTGTTTAAAAACCATAATTGACTTATGGACGGAAATTTGAGACTGGGAAGAGGACTTGCTGTTGGGATACAGGAGATTAAATAGGATGCTAATTTTAGCTAGCATATTTGGATGTAGACTGGAAGTGTTCACACAGAAAAAGGCCTTCAATTTAGGTTCCCATCATTGTCACTCATTATTCAATGGCAGCCTTCCCTAATGTTATCATCTATTTAACTCTAAATGAGACCCTCATATGGTAAATATCCCACTGTTTTGAGGAAGATTTGTGACTTGTTATAAAGACCATAAAATCAGTGGAAACTATTCACCAGTCTTCTGCTGACCATTAAAAGCAATGCAGATTGAAGGCTTCTGCATTATCTCCACTTTTTAGATCCCACAGCTATGTCAGCTTTAATAAAGGTAACATTTTTAGCATTTTTTAAAAATTCTATCCAACCTGATGGTATTTTTAAAAAATGTTTTAGCATGGCAGAAACAGGAGAGAAAAAGCTCCAAAATGTGCAAAAAGCACAGAGTGTTTTTTCAAAAACAGCCTGTTCTGGGTTATATAGCCTACATATGGCATGTACTGCATATCTCTTTAATCAGGGCTTTGTGAAACACAGGAGCGGGTACAGGCAGTAAAAAAGAGACGGCACAGAGAACATGCAGATGAGGCAGAGAAAAATATCACATGCAGAGAGATTAATGGTGTGAACATGCAGTGAGCTGTGAAGAGGCTGCAGTGGATCTGCTGCCTCTGTCTCCTGCTCCGGATATAAATACCATCACAGACATTACACAAGGTTTGCAATGCACATCAGGATATTAATATGAGGGTGTGACACTCTTATTCATCAAATGGGCTCAAAATCATTTCAACAGCAGCATGAAAGCACACCGAGGTGAATCCCATCACCTTTCAGACACCCACATGAACATGCCAACAGACACCAACTGGAAAGGATGAATGGCAGCAGAAAAACAAAATAATGACCGTCAAATAACTAATGAAAAGCTTAACAACAAACGAGGCACAAAAACAGGAAACAGAGTCACTCGGACACAGTAATTCTGCTGTAATTATGAGAGGAACCACATTATTATTCCGGTGATGCGGACATTCCTGTCCAGGATTATTCAGATTATATCTTCTCACTGATACACAGTTAAATCTCTTGCCATAGTCCTGACATGCTCTTTGTCTATCTATGTATTGTTAGAGACCATCCCATCATTGTTGACAAGAGTGCATCTGAAACCGACATATTAGACTGAGGGCTGACTTCTACGACAAGGGCTGGTCAATACATCAAACAATCCCGGTGGGTTTCAGATGTTCCTCACGAATGCTTTCAAACCAGAGAACGCTGCATGTGAAAGGACAACATCCGTCTTTTTACAGGTTCCTGAATGTTTTGTGTGACTCAACACTAATGCTGGATGACAGTGTGTATGCTAAGTGTGGTGGGGATACACTTTAAGCGAATAGAATTATGAACAGTTAATTTTTTTGGCTCCACGCTGAGGGAGTCGCCTCTTCTTTGTAAGTTGGACACCCTGGTTTAATTTCATAAACCTATATCTACAGGAAATGATGTTTTTGATAAGAGCTGAAATTTTACCTACACTTACATTTTTAAAATCAGTATAACTTTCATATCATAAAAGTTTGTTTTTATGCAAGACAGAACCCTGTACTAAGTACCTGACAACAATCATGCCAGAAAACACTCAAAAACTTGATTCTGATTTATTTGGGTTGATATTATGTGTGCACAAACTGGTAAAGCCTTCTATCACCCAGATATCCTTTTGGCAAAGTGTGTAACTTCTGAAAAAAATCTTTGTTTTTAAAGTACTAAAAGAGAAAGCAGTATGTTCATGTGATATGTGTTCAAACTGCTGCCAATGAGACTATGCTGTTGTGGAAACACTCAGCTGCCTTTGTGTAAATCACAAAAAGTGTGAATTAATTGGTCTATCTCTCCCCACTTTGAAGTCAGTTTAGACATTTTTAACCCTCTACTTTTGGAGCTTTATGATTATCTTTTAAGAAGATCTGCAAAATATTTATCAAGACTGTCCTTCTCCATCTCTCTGCCTTCCTTTTATTTGACGATTTTGGGGGCAGCTGACACATAGAAGGACAGACCTCTCAGACTTCTCTTCTTCCTGCGTTCCCCTGCTCCGCAGCGAGGCACAAGGAGACAAAGAGTCAGAGTCAACATGCAAAAAGGAGGAGAACAACAACAGCTCATAGACAGGGTGTGAGGCAGGGAGGAGGAAAGAGAGAAGAGGAAAAGAAGAGAGCAAGATGATGTGTGGAGAATCAGGAGATGATGAGCGGCAGTAAAGGTTTAGGATGACGCCAGAGGCACTTTGCTCTCAAGGTCTACAATCTGAAATTTCATAGATCATAAACAAGGAGAAACACACAACATATCCCTGTCTCATTTTAAAAGATGGTACGCTTTTTTTCTTAAGACATTTTTTAGGATAAGATTTTTATTTCTACACCTTTGGACTCACCGTGTAGTCGGTGATCTTTTAGTCCTCTCACAATGGACAGCATCAAAAAACGCTGCGTTCCAAAACCGTAATGTGTGCCTGACAGAGAGAACAAAAGAAACATTAAAACCTGAAAGGTTCCCTCTCTGAAGATGCACTTCGTTCACTACATCACATAGAAAGGGGGCTGCAAATAACGCCCAACGAAACCATATAATCATCATCATGATCGAAACTGAAACTCCTTTGAATTTTCCAAAGCCAAAACATGGAGAAAAAGAATCATTCATCTACAGTGTGCGTCTGCTTAGTGTGTCTCATATTCGGGATTCTCTGGATGTAATTTTAAAGTGTCTTTTACCAGATGTCAGAGTTACTGAATGAATGACTGCTTGGTTTTATCAGACAGTTTTTATGGACTGTAAAACTGTGATTTTGAGGACAGTGTGTGCTTTTTCCTTATCCGTCACAAAATTATAGATAACATCATTTCATTTTCTAACAAGATGAAAACTTCTCACAGGGTCTTTAACTTACCATATGGGCTGCTGCTTCAGGTGAGTGTACAGGTACACCTTTTCGTTCTTCTTTTCCTCTGGGTTGTCAGATACTGAGGGGGAAGATTGGCAAACTTAGTGTTTAGATCACATCTTGTACAATAAAGAGAGCAAAGAAAAGCTCAGAGAAAAGCTTCTGTTTTGCCAGTCTCTCACAGCAAAATACGCTCTGGTGATTTATGACACACTTTACCTGGCGATGAGGGTTTTGTCCCAATTGTTCCATCCGTGTCCCTGCAAGTGAGAAAGCAGAAGTGAAAAAGGACTGAAACTCGACATGACTGTGTCAGTGGGAAGATTTTGAAAGAGACAGTGTGTTTACTCACTCAGTCTTGGGGACCACTGTGCTCCTCAGCTTGCTCTCTAAGCCGCCGAAGAAACCTTTGACGTCAGATTTTGACGTGTTTTTGAGGAGGCGCTCAGCTGCATCCTTCTTCCCAGACAGCCAGGAATTGGCCTTGTTAAGGTATGAATCCAGACTCACAGGAGGGCCACGATCCAGCAGTTCTGAGGGAGACGGCTGGGATTTCCCTGAACCAGGTGAGAGCAGAGAGTTTAATGGAATGATGTCTGCCCACTGTGAAACAAAACCATTAGTTTATGTGCCCAAAAAACGGACTGAAATTTGTTAGCATTATCCTGGTAAAATGGATCATAAATAAAACACACACTGTAGATCTCTTCTCCTTTTGAGCAAAGGGCTGTGACTTTCATGTTATCATAGTGAATGTTAAGTTCTTAAATATAAGGAGCACATTGCAAAACACTGACTCATATTTATTTGTCATAGGGTTGAATACTTTGTGATGCATGAAATGGTTGAATCTTGTCATGATAAAAATAACATTCAATAAAAGGACTCAGTTTAGCTTATTGGTTGAAATGCAGACTTCATACACAGAGGCTTTACTACATGAAGCTGGCGGTCAGGGTTCAAGTCCAATCTGTGGCCCTGAATACTACCTCCTCCTAAAATAAAAACAGATGGCAGTACTTCTTCTCAGGAATAACTAGTTCAGGAAAATAATATATTTTTTAATCATTATGTGTCTTTCTTATTTTTGGAAAAAAACAAAACAAAACAAAAAAACAACCTTCAGATGTATTTTCCCAGAATCCTTTGCCGCCAAGATGAAATGACATCTATCAAGGCATTTGATGGAGGAAAAGAGGCCACTTTCTTTGAAAATAATCATTAATAAACCAGTGTCATATAAAGTCTTAGTTTAATGCACAATTATGCAAAAATATGTAACTAGATTGTTGTAGTAAGCATCTCAGAAAAACAGCCATAGATGATGTCAATGCACTTTGGTGTAAATGAGTATTATATTATAAATGAGTATCATAGAAATTTTTGTGATGGTTGGATGAAGTTTAAAAATGTGTCAGGACCAAAGACTGGAGTCACACTCTCCAATTTAGCATCTTCAGGTTCAGATTTCTTTGCAGTTTACAAATCACAAAAAGTCCTTTTGTAGCATTTCACCACTCGACAAAGCGGCCTGCTACAGGTTTACTAGAAAATTATACAGTCTGAAGACTGATGTGAAGCAACAAACTGTGTGTACTTTGTATTAGACTAATCACTCAAAGCTTTCTGATTGCATGAACACTTTCATCTTGTAGCCCTGCAAAGTTATTGCACGCAGAACGTTTTATATTACTCTGTGGTGTTTTGCAAGAGAAACCACAGGGTCAACCTGTGGTGTTCACATTTCTCTGAATCAGCACTGTGGACTGATTTTCACTGTTTGCTCTGCAGTTTAAACTTGTTCTTCTGCAAGTAAGATCTTCCTAACTTGTGAAATGAAGAAAACACCAAGCTTTGTTTTGAAATATCAATAACTCACAGTTTGAAAAGAGAAGTAACTTCAGGGTTGGGCTCAAACTACAGGAGTCTCAAAACACCCACTGACTTAGAAATTAAATTTCATCACAAACAAAAGATGAATCATCATGGATACATTATTTTCCTGTTTTTTCTTTTTCACACAAGATTGAAAAATAATGTTAAATCAAACAATCATACAAGGCGAGCAAGGCACAACAGGGGGGGGGGGGGGGGTATTTAGGGAACTCAATATTCATTATTTGGGGTAACAATCTTAGGTGAGATATCAACTGTAACGTCTACACTCTTCTAACTGAAGGATGCACACCTTCAAGACAACAATGTTTACAGCTGCATGCACTGATATGGATAAATTATTCAAGTCCACTCAGAGAGAGGAGCCTGTGATTTGGTCAGAAGGTTTCAGATTGGATCTGTTATCACCTTTCACATCGGCAGAAAATCTCGGCAAAACACTAATGAGTTGAGTTTGAGCCTGACCTACAGTAAGATGACCTGCAAGACAAAGAGCACAAAGATGTAAGAGGGACTAACATATCTTACCAATGTAGTAGTATGTGAAGCACATAGTCATAAGGTTTTTGGCTGGGGTGTAGTCATCCATCTGGTAACATCTGTAACACATATCGATGATCATCATTACTTTACAACTTTTAAAAAATGTGATCTACTTAGCCCAAAAGGTTTGTGTTTGCTGTCATATTGATCATCTTATAGTCAGAAAAGCAATGAAATGAGACAAATAACCTCAAGAAAGCAATTATTACCGGAAACAAGTGAGTAAACACGTAAATGTGTGTCTGCCCACAGCTTCCTCACCAGAGAGCACGATTAAAAACACAGTACTGACTCTGTTGCATGTTAAATCTCATCTAAACCATGAACAGCATCAAATGTGTATCAATCCACAGCTGAAAATAGTCTTCGTGAATAGCCTTCTGTTTTGTGATGATTGATAACAGCATCCATGAAAGTGGGCTTTGGAGCTCTGAATCAGACCTTCTCCAGCAAGAACCAACGGGGTCTGATCAGAGGGAATTTTCATGGGAAAGTGAAACAGAGTTGACCAACATTATTCTTCACAGTTACACAGGATTAGATGATTTGTGTGTGTTAGACTCACTCAAACAGCACGACCGCAAAAGACTGCACCAGCCTGTAGAAGGTGGCTTCACTCACACATTTGGAGTGGCAGCGCTGTTGACACAGAACGAAGCAGAGTTAGGATGATACTTGATAAAAACAAGATAGTCAAAAGAATCAGGTGAATTATTATTTTACCCTACTGATGTCTGCCATCTTTCTGACAGTGTATTCAGGCTCTTGACAAGAACCGGTCAGAGAGCTAATTTCCCAAAAAGGTCACTTACAGTGATATTTTCACATTAACCCCCGTATTCACCTGTGCACTGACGTATTTGGCGAACCACTCCCGACCTTTGCCGTTCTCTCCACTGCACAGCTCTCCAAAGCGAGCCTGCTCCTCCTGGTCAAAGTCCTCCCTGTGGAAACGAGTCACAAAAAAGGTCAAAGCAGCACTCATTTACAGATACTGTGGAAAAAAAACAGGCTGTTCACAGCTGCTGTTGTGTTTACTTCCAGATTTATAAGACAGCGTTTATGATACAGAAAAACTGACATCCAGTAAGAATGTAATTAAGGAAACATCTGACAGATGACTCCGATTGCAAAAAGACGTGTAGTCTACAAAATAAATAATAATAAAAAAAACATTTCAAATATGTAAATTGTGAAATACATGATTTATCTTACACACCATAAAATTTCTCCAATCTGTAACTAACACTAATGTGTACATAAAAACAAAATTTCCCATTCCAAATGACTGCATGTCCAATAGAAAATAGTCACAGTCAAGTGTTTGATGAAATTTTTTAGAATGTCCAAGAATAATACAGTTTAATATTGCTTCTGATATAATTATCCTTCATGTTCTCAAATCTATAGTATAATCCAATATAGCCTTCTTTTTTATGAATGAATCAAAAACTGCTATTTGCCTGGTATTTCTCTCTACTTATAGTTATCCATTAATTGATAGTGGCTGAACCTAAATCCAAATGTCCACATCCTAAATGAAATGTTTATTCAAGTTCAGTCATTCTGTTTTGGATTTCTCGTTGTTAAATTCTTGTATTTTGTGAAATAGCAGAAAATAGATGAGCCCTATGATCTTCATTGGCCATCGGCTCACTTCCCTTATTTGTGGCATCAGCACTGATGTTGAAAATTTGACATTAGTCATCAGTATTTCTAAAACCATACTGCTGTTTTAAAAAGGAAGAGATGAGGGTTTCAAGACGTTTTATCACATAAAAAAAGGTCTGGGTAGCAGGAACCACTTTCAAATGAGATGAGATTCTTGGATTCGATAAAGCATGTGATTTTTAATCCTGCTTCGGCTCCTGACATAAATCTATCACAATTACTCTTCAGTGAATTTTTTTCAGTCCATATAAAATTTTACTTATCTGTCAGGACAAGCTGTGTTTTGTCATTTGTGATGCAATGTGTGGATAAATTTGTGAGAGAAGGATTGTGACAGACCAAACAAGTGGTCAAAATAGACTAGACTACACCAAAAAATGACACAACAAAGCAGAACACATATTTAGAATAATGAAGTAACAGTTGAACCATGCACATTTAAGAGTATAAAAGCAACCTTTTATGTTGATATGGTTTTATATTCTTTACTGTTTTGCAGAACTTGCCTCATTTTTGTAAGGGAAATATTAATTGCTTTTCTATCCAAAATTACAAGAATTACAATCAAATCTCAATAAGGGCTGGAATTGATAACCAGTACCAAAATTAGAACTAGGATCAATCAGATTGAAACCGTACCCAACCCTATTTAGACAAAACGATAAGCCATTGTACCACAAAGTAATCAACTCAAAATTCTGAGAGGTAAGCTGGAGGTCACTGCAGAGGTCTTCATAAATACTTACTCCAAAGACTTGACCAAGGAGTCCATCATTTTTGGGTAGTTTCATTTTGGTTAGCTGTCACCAGATCTGGGCCTTATATTTTTAATGTCAACTACATCTCTGGATCTGTTCGGTATATAACACAGACCCCAGTTTTGGTCACTCTCACCTGAACACGCACATAGCAGGGTTCATGTCTTTCATTTTTAGACAGACTTATTTTCCCACCATGCCAGTCTATGAGTACTGGATGGTTGCATCATTCAGTCTATCCTTATGCTGGTAATACTAACCTTTATATTGTTATCTGCTGACAGATAGCTAGATCAGCCAAAATAAGGCAAATTATCAAACAGAGACAGTTTGCTTCTGGGTCTGCACCCGAATGATGGAAAAGGTTCAATAAACATCAGCAAAATTAAAAACAAGCCCAGAGATCTATATGATTCCTTGTTCTCTCTCGTTGAACAAAGTGTTATGCCCCATGGCCCTTTAGCGGTGAATCATGAGAGTCTTATGAGGCTGGAGTGTTTCTAGGAAACCTGGTTAATAAAATGAACAGTGTTAATCTGAGGTGACGTGAATGCACAGCCTAAAGCACAACTAATTTCATGTGCTAGTACTACAATCAAGAAAAAAGTGCTACCAGAGGAGATCACAACATTAACGTACGCTAAAACAAATGAAATCACAAAAATAAAGACAGTCAAGTTTCTGGGAGGCTTGTTTAAAGTCATCACTGCTGATAAAGAGGAAAAAACACAGAGGTTAAGGGCTCAGTTATTGTCTGACAGTCAGTTTACTGAGACTCAGCTTTGTGCAGGGGGTGGCAAAGTGTTACACACTCTCCTCTGATGAGCTATGACAGCCTAAAGGCAGCATCAGCATTTAGCTCTTTCCCTGCACTTAGTGTATGGTGGTTGCAATGCATGCAGACACACAAAGCTCAATGACTCCAGATTGTGTGTGCTTAAATTATTTCAGGAGGTACATGCTACATAGCTGAAAACGTCTTTACAGAAACACTCAGACACAGACACAGAGTTTTTTAGGCCTTATTTACACCCTGAGCTTCCCTGGGCCACAACAGCTTCGATGTAGATTCAAAGAAGTACGTAGCAGCCGATCAAGCCATAAGCCTCAAGTAGAGATGAAAGTTGGCTTCTGGAGTCTGGTGAGTTCACTCCTCTGTCTCCACACCTGCAGATTGTTTTGACATTTCAAAACAGACCCAACCAACACTGAGTCACCCTGACTCATTTCACAGTCAAATCACTCTCTGGAGAGCAGAGGATGTTCAACAGTTTCACACATACTGCTCAATAGCTGTTTATACATTTAATGTGTGGAAAAACAAAAGAGGTCCTGTCTGAAGGGAATATTTACTCCGTGGTTCACATTTAGCAAACAAAATGCTTAAAATAAACATCAATGTCCAGTTTTTCAATCAATCTTTCACCTAAGAGATTTCTGTGTAACAAAGAGTGATGTGTATTTGAAACTAAATCTGTATAGATCCAGCACTGTCACCAACTGCTGTGCATGTTTTTCAATCACTTGGTCACAGTTGACAGTTACTCTGAATAATATCCAAAACAATTAATTATAATTACATCTCATTAAGAGAGTCACCAATGCCTTTGCTGCTTGATTTCACTTGGCTTCATAATGCCTTTATCTTGCTTTTCCACTTTGTTCAATAGTGAAAGAACTACACCCTATCAACACCAGACAAGTTTGACCTGTTTAATTTCTTCTATTAATTTGTGGTTAATGTGAAAGTCATCTGGGATCCTTACTCCGTGTCAATCTGCCATGTCTGCTAAACTTTTCAGTAAAAATTATTCAGCAAACTACAAACTTTTAGAAGGTTTATGTTTTTCCTGAGGCGTTTTTTTCTCCTGTATTTCCCATGTTGACAATTAAGCTATCTGGAAATTAAACATGAAAGTTCTGAGAGTGTTTTGGCGGTAATTACAGGAAGCCTGTCCCAACAAATGGTATTTGTGCAGAAAGTCTATGAAAGAGAAACTCAGTTCTACCAGATGACTAAATGCCAAAAAGATTAGACTGATAACTTGTGTGACAGATGTTGCTCTGAATATTTTGTTTATCAGGCTCAACATACAGCCGGGATCGGTAACTAGGGGCCCGTGGTCCAAATCAGGCCCACCAAACATGAAATCTGGCCTGTGAGATTATTTTTATAATGAATTTAATTCAAATATTTTTTGAAACAACAACCGTTACTGGCAAAGTCGAACAATTGCGCCACAGAACAAGGTTCAAGCAAAGGTACGAACAAAGGTAGCGCCAGAGATTGTGAACAAAGGCAATGATATCTGTTAGGATGAAGTAGTCCTCAAATCTGGACCCGAAGTTGTCCCGCAGCTTCTTGATGATGTCCATAACCAGGTCTGAATAATTTCATGACCTAAAAAGGCTTATCACAATCTTATCTATCATATATTATTCACAGTTTGCCCTCCAATCACAGTATGATTAATCAACACATTTTTAATATACCCATGCGTCACAAAAACCTAGTGAAATCACATCTGTGGTGGTTTTTGTTTCTGGAATTTCTCCAAACACAGGATGGCACAGTCAAATGTTCTTGTCCTCAATGTTGCAATCCTGACAAAATTTGGCCCGAGGCCAAGCCCAATTGCTGACCTCTGACATATGGCATATGGTAGCTTATAAATAGAAATGTGAGGGGGCTTTGGCTCTGATTTGAGGAAACTGTTGAAAATTTTTAGTAAAATACACACTCCTTTGTCAAAAATGTCCAGCATAAAACACAGAATTTGAAAGTCGATTTCTCTATCACAAGACCACCTGATGGGGATGTGTGTGTTTAGTTGACTGTAACAGCATTAAGTCATCACACCATAGTAGCTAAATAAAATACTTATATTTTCACTGTCCTGCACCAGAAATACCACTGAAATGCTGAGTCTAAGTTGTAGCAAAAGCCATCAGCTCTGGTTGATAATGGCTTCTGCTTTGATACTAGTGCTGCGTCCGAACTGCCCGCTCGGATACTACATGCTACTGCTACGTGCTACTGCTAGATCCTACTCCTACATACTAAAAACGTTGGCCCAATTCGGACACACTAGACGAGCGGTGGGGAAAGACGACCCCCGCAGGCAGAGAGTAGGTACTGCGCCCGTGCAGACAGTGGTAACTGAAGCCCCTCATCTGCGGGCCTGGCTGTAGTACTGCAGCTGTGCAGTTTAATGATGGAATAAGTGAGCTTTACCTCCATGATGTCGCCACTTGGTCATAAAATGATTACTTGGGCAAATATGACACCATGACATGACAAAGAGATACAACCGCACATTTTTTAGGACAGTGTGTGAAGTTACATGAAACTTACATCTGTACTGCTGCGGTCCCGCCTGCTGCTGCTGCTGCTCCGACATGGTGCGCGCCGCTGTGGCCAGCCGGCGTTCGCGACACTTTTAAATAGGCAGAGCAGCTGGTGGCGCTAGCATCACATGCTTCTACAACTTTTAAGAGGACGAAGAAGAAGCCCGCGGTGCATTTTGGGTCAGTAGCATGCCCGTAGGATGCACCGAGCCCAACCTACAATGTGGGCGTGTCTAGCATCTGAAGTAGTATCTGAAGTAGCATGCTACTCGCTCCGGTGGCCAATTCGGACATGCTAGATACTACTTCGACTACTACTTCGACTACTACTTGGCAATTCGGACGCAGCTCGGGTCTGCTTAAACTGGCCTGAGCAATGCTTAACCAGCACAGACGTTACCCTGCAAAGGGAACTGAAGGTTGTTGGTGTTGGATAAATTGTGCTCAGTTAAGGCAGTTTTCAGAGTGCTTTCTCCACTGTGAATTACTTGGTTGGTACGTTTTGGTAGCTTTCTTGTTTTTAATGTCCTTGATCGTGGCAGCATAACGGAGCAGTTCATTTTTGAAGGGTGCAATGTTTGGCTTGGATTTGGCCCATTTGTTTTTGTGAATATGGAATTTCCCCAAGCTCAGGATCAACTGACAAAAAAAGCACAGATCTGTAAGTCCTCTGGCTGTTGTATGGTTGTGTTTCGTTTTCTGTTTTTGTCGTTATTGTTGTGATGTGTCTCTCGTTGGTTGTACTGTCTGTCTTGTTCAATAAAAAAAAAAAAAAAAAAAAATTACTTGGTTGGTTGAATTTAAAACTTCAAACTTTTAGATGATGAGGAAATCTTTCGGAGCATCCCTATCCCATGATTATACTATATTAATGCAAATAGGGATATTGAAGCTCCCCGTATATACAAAAAATCCCTCAGATAGGTACAGATCTTTCTCAGAATAAAATACAATCCAAGGCTGTTGTACTTTGTATGTGCATTAGTTATAGTTTGTATTTTTGACTCACCTCCCATCGGTTCATCACACAAGTTAGAAAGAAAATGGGAAAAACAGACTTACTTTCCATGAAACACCTTCTCCACATAAGCCTTCATGAACTTCCTCCTCTCTACTGTGTCAGCGTCAGCATCCTCCCCGCTGTGTGCAGATGAAGATGATGACCTCCTCAGCTCCCACTTTTCAGAGGACGGGTCCATGTCATTCTCGCTGTCTGCTGACTCTGTGGCATCGCTGTCATTGTCTCCATCCTCTTGGTGGTTGTGATGGTGGTGAGAGCCAGACTTGGTGGGTGCCATGGGCTCTGGCAGTAAGGGCTGCTGGTGAATTCCCATGTTGGACCTGGGCTCTGGGGAGAAAATGTCCGTGTGACCTTGTTGTTGACCTCCATCTACAGTGAGTGTGGAGACCTCTGAAGGCAGGTCAAAGTCAATCAGGTTGTCCACCGTTACACCTTCCATGTTGGAAATAGTGTGTGGGCTGGTTGGAGGTTTCAGCTGAGGTCACAGACTGTTGACCCTCCCATCCCCTGAGGGTGCTAACATCAAGTGAACTCACAAATCCAGTGCATCTGTAAACAAAGGAAAGAGGAAATTAGCATCCAGGTCCTCCTTTACATACATTTTAATATACATATGTGTAAGCAACCACATAGACTCAAACTTCAGGGAGGAGTTAATAGTCTCAATAACTGTAACTGTAACTCAATAAGTTACAGTTCATGTTCTTCTGTAGTTACACAAACCAACAACAAGTTAATCAACACCCACATACTGGGATTTTAGACCACTGGAGACTTCTCACCCTGAATGTTAGCCATCTGAGGGTCATCACGCAGATACTGTTGTTCCAAGACTTAAAGTCAAGTAAGTCTAAAACCTTTTAGTTATTGTGTCAGTTGAAAATAGGGCTGTGTGATATGGCCTCAAATCAATATCACGATATATTGAGCAGTTCACCTCAATAACGATAAATGGACGATAACTACTCCACAAGCTGCTCACCCCCTCCCACATTAACTTTGTCTACTTCAGCCGCTACAACTTTAGAACCGTCCTTTATCTCCTCACCTGTCTTTCCCCCTTTGTTATGGATTGGATGGGGTGGAGTCATGTCTCTAACGTAGGATGGCGTCCTAAAGGGACATGAGACCATAGCCTACCTACACACATCCAGAGCCAACTTTTATTTATTTATTTTTTTGACACTGAATATATTGACACAGGCAAAATGATGTTGGTTTTTGTCGTAAATTTCGCTACTGATAAATTTTCAGTTTCTCGGCTAGCCCTAGATGAAAATCACATTTGAGTTTTCCTACTGCTACAGTAAGTAATCCCCAGGTGCTTTCTTTCTTGGTGCTGCTTCCTACCAGACAGAATTTCCCTCTAAATTAATGTGTAAACTGCAAAATGAGGAGTGAAATCCAATGAAATTTTCTTAAAACTGCAGTTCCTTGAATAGACACAAGGCTGACTCCAAAAGGCACCCATCTTAAAAGGCCCAGCAAAATTAAGCACCTTCAACCCCTGTGTTTATCATTTTCAAAGGTCGCACTGTTTTGTCACTCTTGTATAATTTTGAGTTACTTTAACGCTAACTCTAATATAGGTGCCATTTGCTGTCTGCTTGAAAAGACTCTGGTCTTTTTCACTCTCTAAATGCATTTTCTGTTCACTTTGTTGTGGGCTTTCGGCAAATGTTTCAGCATGTTCCAGATATTTAACTTGGTTTCCTGTGTAAACAGTTGTATGAACAGATTATCTCACAAGTCTTGGCATACTTGGTGAACAAGCTGCTAAAGCTGCTTTTTTGTTAGCACTGCAGAGCAGGTATCACTGTCACCATGATAGGTTTGTTTATTCAGTTATGGTCTAACATTGATTAATCAGAGGCCATGCTGTAAAGGTATGATTGTTGTGAGGTATTTGGAGGATTTGGCTACATTGACTCTCTTAGGTCATTTGGCCATATCACAAACAGATAGGCTAGCACCACAATTAAAAACTGATTATGTTATAACACAATTGTTGTCTTTTTGATGAGCAAATAAGGACTTGTCATTGGGCATGCATAAAAAACAGAGTACAAACGAGTCCCTCACTCCTCTCAAGCGCCTCTGCATGTATGCATTATTTATTCCCCTTTGTCTCCTGTTGTGAGCTGTTATTACAAGTGATTTTCTACCAATGGGGCATCAATGACGTATATCTTGTTGAGGCCTGAAAATGGTAGTCCACACACCAATAGGTTTAAGGGATTCTGTAACAGGTGCCCACGTCTCCTATAAAGTCCAGGGCTTAAATTTCCATTACGTAGGAGCTGCAGTTCTCAGACCCGACACCATGCCGAGGTCTTCTGTTTGTCCTTCCGAGTGTTTTATGTTCCCTCTCACTACAATTTATTGTCTGCGAGGGAGTAACTAAGAGGAAAGATGTTTGCTTTTATCATAAAAACCTGTCTGCAAAGTAAAAGTGCCACAGGCTTTGACAAAACAACGATGATGACACACAAGGGCACCATAAGTGTCAAATACGTGTGTCAGCTCTGAGAGGCACTCAAGTTAAGCAGACTCATATTAAAGTATTTGATTACTGCATTTTTTTTTTTCGTGTAACAAAGACTCTATACTCTTTTATGAGCAAGTATCTCGATTAAAGATATGTCTTTTTTATATACGAAAGACACAACTGCTGTTAATAGATTTTTTATAGCTCATGCCTCTTAAATCAAAGAGCTTGCAGCCTCTTGAATGTACAGTCAGTGCAGGAGCATTAATTAAAAAAAAAACTCATTCAGTAACAGCAACATAAAAGGTTGAGGTCAGAGTTTCTTAAAATAAGCTTAACAAACAGCAAAATTGTCTCCTTTCTGTAGCAGCTGATAGCTTACTCCTTTCTATTGACAAGTAACTCTTACAACTATATTTTGGGACAATGTGATGTCTTTAAATATCATGAGCACGTGCATAATGACAGATGCATAGCTTTGCCTTTCAACTGATAACCTGTTATACTGATCTGACAGGATAAATTAGAAATAATGGAGGCCTCTCTCTAATAAAGGTGTGTTTTAAATATAGTCCTTATTGTTGTTGCTTTGTAGTGAGTGAAACAGCCCAGTTTATAATCTAAGTCATCACTATTTAGAGGCAGTGAAGCTGTATGAACCAAAAACCTTTGTGGCACACATACACGGTATTTACAATTGTGTGAAAAAAACATGCAAGGTTATTTCCGGTTGTTGTTGTTGTTGATGTTTGAGTATGAAGATATGGGCTCACTAGAGCAGGTTTATGCAGTCTGACGAGAATATTGGCTTCTTGACAGGATACTCTTTTACTACCATGATAAGGTGCTGCAGGAAGACAGAAGTTAGGAAGGACTGTATATCACTTAGTTTCCAGCACACAAAGGAAAGGGGAAGCAGGGAAAATAGTTGGGTGAAAACAGAGCAAGAGATGCTGCAGCGTCTCAGTTAGAGGCAAGGATTTTTTGAACATGCAGGTTCAAACTTTTTAGTAATTACTCAACCTTCCGTGTCATAGACAGGAAATTACAGTTAAAAACCACAAAGACAGGAAACTTCAATGTTAATCATCATATCTGAGGTAAAATCTGTCTGCTGCACAACTGAACATTTAATGTATTATTTTATAAATAATGGTTTTAATGGATGAGCCAGCAAAAGCCCAGTTTGATCCAGCTCTCTTTACCCTGACCTTGTATGTTCTGAGGAGGGGAAAAAGCAACAGCTGTCCATCCTGCACTCTGTCCACAGGCTAATCTGCTGCAGCTCTTCTGTCCCAGGGCAACATTTGGCCTTCTGAATACACACACACAGTGATAACCATGCTAGACTAGACACAGACACACACACATATGCCAACCGCAGAGCCCTCGGGTCAACAGAGTGTTTTGGCTGCAGTTCTGAAAATGAAGTAGACTGTTATGTAAATCGATGTTTGGTAAATAAGACCAAGGTTGATGCACACACACACACAAACACCTGAGTACAGAACACCCAGTGTATATAGAGCTATGTAAGAAGAATAGAAAATGATGGGAGGAAATCATCTCCCTGCCTCTTTCAGGTTTCAAACCCCACTGATAGTTGGCAGAGGTCCTACTTCACCAAGTTTTCATCAGCTGGTTAGCAACACAAAAAACTACAGCTGCTAGAAGCCAGTCTAATGAAAGCTGACTTACTTATAAACTGCTTTTAATGCTGTTAGATATTTTCTTTAATTTAAAACGTATTTTAAACACAGATGAAACAAAAGTAAGGCCATCCTCTCATGCAAAAACTATCTGCCTTCCATCTCCACATCATGGTCCTGAAAAAGATTTTGTGTGTCTTACTGAAGATATCTTGGTGTTTCAATCTATAACTCTTCCTCTTTTATCCCTCATACTCTGCAGATGATGAGAAGACTAAAATAGAAACTGGGTTTTTATTTTAAAATCAAATCCAGCTCTAGTTTTGAGTACTAAAAGAGACTGGCTTCTACCACCATTATGTCTGTGTTAGACTATGGTATGCATGCACCGGCTTCTCAGGGCTTACACGCTCTGGACAATGTGTATCATGGAGCACTGAGGTTCATCACTTACTATAAAGCTCTCTCTAATCACTTCTTGCTTTATGAACATGCTGATAAGTCCAAACCAAAACACTGATTTATTCTTATTACTGGTTCTTTCTACCCTCTGGCCTGCATCAAACACAGGAGTTTGGGAACTGAGATGGGAAAAGGCACTTAAGTTTGCTGCTTCAACTTGGTTTCAGACACATCTGGCTGCATGCATAATCTTTAAATGAATCAACAGCAGCTTATTAAACTCATTGTTTCAATCGAATGGTCTGTTATTCAAAATTATGTTTTCTTCCTTTTTCAGATGAACCCAATCTGCAAGGGGGTTTCAATTTAGATAACTCATTGATGTGGGGGGCAACTGTTTAAGTATTTTGCAAAATAGGGCATAAGGACTACTTGAGTGTAGGGCTGGGCGACAAAACGATAACGATATATCGAAAATTAATTTCCCTCAATATCAATATAAAACAGGGTCAAAATCCTTTTCATTAGTCAGCATTCTGCCATGTTTTGGTAGATTATATGAATGGCCTATGAAAAGGCGAGTTGCTCCAGGTCCGCTTCGCGCTGAACCAATCATGTGCTGAATTAGAACCAGGTAGCAAACAACTGCGTAGTAGCAGGCTGCAGCTACATGCAACCATAGCATTTTAACACGTAAAGCTGACAGCACTGTCAGTGAGAAAAAAAAGAAAATGAGTGCTACTCCCTGCAGAAATGCAGATGAAGGCTAAGCAGATGATCACATCATCGACAAAACAGGCATGAAAACGTCAGAGGTGTGCAGTTATTTTGTTGTTTTTAGGGCGGACATAAAGCAGAGTAATGTGCACTGCAAATTATGTCGAGTACATGTTCTCGTAAAGTTGGAGAATACCTCAAATCTTTTTCACCACCTGAAGCAGTGCCACACGGCAGAGCACATGCAATGCAAAAGGTTACTGGCTACACCCACAAGATCCGCTCTGGACCGGCAGGCGGATCAGATCCACAAGCATACAGCGCCCACCGGATCCAATCTGCCACCGCCATCGGAGAAGTGCTCACAAGATTACCAATATTTCTTCCAAGACTGGATTAGATCTCAGGAGCTCTTGCGGGTTTCCCCGGGAGTCATAGAGTAAGATCCGCCAATCAGTGTATATAAATCCTAAAACCTTGGCCTCTCCCATTATTAAGTTCAATGTATTGACTTTATTTTATTTTGAAAATTAACTGGATATTTTGCTCTGTAACCGCATAAAACTTCTGCTGCTGCTCGTGCTGTACTGCACTGAATTGATGCGCCGTGATTCGGTCGCGGGAGCCAATCAGCAGCAGAGCTGAATTGCAGTGGAGCCGATCCGCAGCGGAGCCGGACGCCGGGAAAATTCTGTGGAATGACTCACATTGATTATAATGCTTGCAGATTTGATCCGCTAGCCGTGCCGGAGCAGAGTGGAGTCGTTCTGGACCCTGTGGGTTTTACCCGTTACAAACCCTGAGCAGAGCAAGGAGCACCTGTGCAGCCGAAACAGACGATCATTCATTCTGCTTTCTCTAGCGCAACGCCTTACAACAAAACCGTGAAGAGACACAAAGACCTCACAGATGCAGAAGCTTATTGTACTGCAAAAGACAGTTACCCAATAAGGATTGTTGAATGTCATTTTTTATATAATGATATATATCGATATCGACTGATATGAAAAAAAAATATCGTGATAAATGGTTTCACACATCACCCAGCCTTACATGATTGTCTCACTGGAAAACAGATGTACCTAAAAAGGCTATTATTTGATTTATATGATGCATCATATTGTTGTGTGTGACCAAACTGATCTGCTGGGATGTTGCGTGTGAGTCTCTCTCACAACAGAAATGATCTAAGTGAGCCTATCAGAGTTTTTCCAGTTGAACAGGAGGAATTAGATCTTACCAAGAAAAGTGAGCATATGGCTCACGGTTCATCAGTCTCTCTGGTGATACTGAATGTGTGAAATGTCGCCTGGAAGTCTTTTCCTCACAGCTTTATTCTAAAAGCCTGGCCTGATCAGAGCGAGCAGCATGGCCTCAGTCAGACAAGACTCTCAGCTGGTGATGGATGGCAGTGGTACAGTCACCTGCTGACCGCTGACGCCACTTGGCCTGAGTAATGTGTTCTGTCCTCCTGTTCTGCAATGGCCGCAGAAAACGCACACGTACGTGCACAAATACACTGGTGGACTGTGTAAATTCCCGCGAATTGCAGAGGCTGCAGTATTTCTGCTTCCATGAGCAGTAAGGGGGAGCCCCCACAACCCCTCCAACACACACAGTGACAACCTGCCCCTGTATCAACATCATCCCTGGAGGTGGTGTGTGCAGGGGGGAGGGGCCTTCTTCGTGATACTGCAAAGCTCGAGTGACTCCGTGTGGAGACTTTCTGCGTGGTGCTGTTAGCTATGCAGCAAAACAGCATCACAAGACCTGCCCTCGTCTCTACTCTCATCTCCAGTGTTTGCTGCATGATACTCACATGGAAACGGGTGCTGTTATGCAACGTGCCCCTGAGCCTCTCCCACCCCCAGGAAGTATCATTCAGCGTACTCGACTGCAAAAACATCAGTTTAACAAGGTATACAAGAAGCCTTAACGCTCATATTGATGCAGTTCATCCTCCTGTGACATCTGAGCAATGAGCAGAAAATGTAAGCAATTAATCAGTTTTCCTTTGATGTCACATATGGCTTTACAGGGAGTCAATCCAGCATGCGGACAAGGTCCTTTCAGTGTCTCCTTCTTGCGCCACTGGACCATGATTCAAAGAGCTCTCTGTGTAATTACTGGACAAAGCTGTGCCTCACTGATGTGGGAACCAATACCACACCAGAGACTTCCTGACCCACAATCCTTTGGCTTCCTACTGTAATGTGAGAGGGAAAGTTGATCTTCTGTTGTGTCTACTGGGATGTCTCAGTCACCAAAACAAAGGCAGTGAGTGCATTCTTTGTCCTGCCTGTTCTTGATACTTGGGAGTAAATGTCCCTCCTGCCTCAATCTGGTTCCTTTGACTAAACTCTAAACCTGCCAGTTTCTTCCCTCATGTCCTGCCAGTGATTTTTAGGTTGTTGTGATCATATTACAAATTGTCAGGCTGCAGTAAGAGTAGGCTTACTCTTTTTTTTTTCCTTTTTATCTTATCAGTTCTTTTTCAGTCTAACATCTTACAGCATCTTTTAAACTTTTAACTTAGTCCTCTCTTTATAGGCTTGCTTGTAACAGTGCTTTCAATGAAAACATTACTTTTCCTCTTTGCCTTGACTTGAACACATGATCTCCTTTCACCTCACCTTTATCATTTCTTTCCACAGATTGGTTCGATATCTGTGATCAGGTTGTCTTAACTATCACCTTAGCTAATCATAATCAATAAATGTGAGAAGGGTCTGGCTGCAGACCTTCACTGAAAGGACCCACCTCCACTGGGCAAATTGGAAGTTGTTTCTTTTGGAAGCTGCCTTTCAAAATAAAAGCAAATACACAGGAAATACATTTCTTTTTTTACATCCTAAGTTGATTCAAAGCCTTTAAAATAAAACACGATCCTGGTTACACCAGGAAGTACGTATATTTTGTCTCATATCTGTCTCTTGGGGCTGTGTTTGATGTATATAATGTTCATATGATTTTTTTGTGTATTCGTGTATTCAACAAAGACAAAATACAAAACGGGATGACCACATCGAACAAACTGGAGTGCATGAGAAAAAACGTCACCTTGGGTCCTCTCATTAGAGCGAGTCCTCTTGGTAGAGGTGGGTCCTCTCAGTGGAGGTCTGCTGCTAGACTGTTTTGATAAATGTTGTCAATTGGTTTTTGACCAATCAGAATTAGGCAATTTTAGGCAATCTTATCCAATGTTTTGTCACAAGCACTTGTCAAGGTAAAAAGCAAACAAACGGCAACAACCAAATACTACGTTGTCACAAAAACACAGGGGATTTATACTGTGATCAAGGATCACTGGATTCCGTATAGCTGTTGAAGCCCCATGCTTACTGCACGGGTTATTTTTAACTTAATTGTCTCCAATGAAAAACTGTCATGATTTTAATGTCCTCATTGTACAAAAGAAAAAAAAAGCTACAGAGAAAGGCAGCATGCACAACAAGCCAACTTCAGAGAAGACAAAAGAGTTGAGGCACCGCTGGCTCTTTCAATGAGTCACATACAAGTGTTCTTTGGATATTTTAGGCTTCCTGTGTTCATTTCCTTTTGTTCAGCGATAACTGAAGTATACTCAGCCAAACAATGAAAACAGCTACTGTTATTCAAAGAGAACCGCCGCCCCGACTACCCTTTCCCTCTTCTCATCACCTTTTCAAATCAGAAGTATCACTTCTTCGTTTTAACCAATAAACTTGCACATTCAAATGATAAGTGAAACACAACATAGATGTGCTAGCCCCTGCTAACAAGGGCCCTGAAGAAGACCAGAGCAGACCCCTGTGCCCGGGCCATTTTAAAGATATTTTTAGAGCAAAATAAGGGCATTGAAAGTCTACAACGTGACTACAGTCAACTTCAGCTCTCTCATCTGTGCTATTTACAAAGACAGTCTATTTGAAACTATATGTCTCAGCTGTCTTACAGCTGCCTGAGGGTTTGTTTACTGTGTCTGATCTTATGACTTCACATGATTCTTACTCTGCTGAAATTCTTACAGGAAAATCTCACTGTCACTGCAGCTTCACTGTTTCTAAACCTCACATTAACCTTCAGATTTCACATCTGACTCTTGTGCATTACATTGATTCACATTCGAGCTGTACATTGCACAGTCCTGCTGAAATTCACGCTAACAGCTTTAACACATCACTTGAAATAACTTTTCTGCACATTTCAGAAAACAGACTGTTCAGATTTCTCTCATCTACCTCAATATTTCTATTTTTCATTTTAATCACTGCAGTTTATTGACCAAATTTACAATCGTCTTGACTTTTTATTATTTATTCTATTTAGTGTTACATGTACCCAAACACCAAGATAAGCTTCTTAGGTTTTTGCCGACTCAATGGTAACTCTGAAACTAAATCTGAGATTATCATTAAAGGGGTGAAACCATAAAACTGGGCCAGTATTACACAAATAATTTTCCTGTAGGGGTTAGACTGAATCATACCCTGTCAGTTTTTAAACTGGCACTGAGCTCTCCCAGTCCTGAATTTGATATAAACCAGACTCCAGCACATTTTAAGGAGGGAGTCAAGTGTTCTGGGTGGAGGAATGTCGAGTTGACCCCAGTCTCTTTGAGAGGAGCTTTCATAGTGTGGAGCCAAATGTGGACAGGCTAAAACTAAAGTGTTTGTGAGAGTCACCTGTTTAAGGGTGGCAATAACTTTTATCAGCTTCTGTCACCAACAAGAAGGAACTTCTCTTCAGCACAGCCTTGTATGATTGACAGCAGTAATAAAGTCAACATTTAACAGAGCAGCATGAAAGGAGGAAATTGCACATCTGAGCCAAACATTTGTTTGTCCCTGTCGTTTATGTGGAACATAACATTGTCATAGCTGAAGATGTAAAGCTCAGTTTTAGTACATTGCAGTGTCACTGTGTCGGGGACCTTCCCATCACAAGCTGCAGCAGGTTCGTGACAAGCAGAAGTGGCTGTTAGTGGATAAGTTAGGTGTTGAATCTCTGCTATGGTTCATCAGAGGCAACATTTACAGTACATCAACACTTCACTTTATTTTTAGCAGACAATTTTAACTCTCAGTCAGAGAGAGAAAACAACTGCACATTACTTGAGCTCTATATAACTTGCCAGATTCCTCAACTATACAGGCAATCCACACGTGTTTTCAAATGAACAATAGTTCTGAAAGTCTTAATTAAAAAATGCATTGTCTACTGCACATGTAGCAGATCATGAACCTAAGCAGACAAGGTCCACTCTTGAAATATCAGTTAGGATGTTATGATTGTTCTAATCTGGATCTCAGCTATCAGATCAGAGCTGATCTAAATCTATTTGATCAGAGTGGCAATCTGAGCCGATCATCTACAATCATCTCCTGATTATTTCAGCAACCGAGCACCATTCATGGCACAACCATACTGTACAATAAATGAACACAGAATTCATGACGGTACCCAAATTTGTTCATGAAGTGGAGTTATGATGCCTGTCAGTGGCTCTTGCTATGTTGGTAATTCTGACTCAACTTCTGGATGACTTCCCTGAGGTGGGCCTTTAACTTCCTCACAAATGGAGACAATGCGCCTGCCTATCAGTCAAGTCAGCCATGCCTCTCATTCTGCTGCCTTTTAACATTAGTATCTTTGAAACAAATGGGTTACAAAAAAATCCCTCTCTGTACTGTGGGTGCCGTGGGAGTCCTGGGCTATTTAGACCAAACGTGTTTTCGACCAGGGCTTAACTATGTTTATTTTCGCTCTTAAAATTGGCTTTTTTGGCTTTGTGTTTACATGGATTTAGGTGCTCCTGCAGCCAGTTTTTAGCATGCAAAGGCATGAGTAACGTAGTGGAACCAAGCGCTCTGGGTTTGCCTAACTGTAATTAATAGAATAACATAAAGAGGATATTTGTGTGGAATTACTGCCACAGTTTCCTCTTAATTACATGAACAACTGCACGGACAGGTAACACAATGGATGGAATGGTAAGTATCTGCCAGGCCTGGTTTCACAAGAGTCAAAATCATTCATTGCTCCTATTTTGAATTTCTGCACCCTGAGTCCTGTTTGGACTTAAAGACACTGAAGCCAAATGCCTACAGTGGCTCCACATCTGCAGAAACTCCAGCTGATCATGGCGAGATAAGTATCATAACAAGCAGCAATGAGACTCCAGCCAAAGTCAGCTGCATAGCTGTCACAGCCATGCCAGCTACGCCTTGTTCACTACCATGTGGTCAAAAGGCTAAAGCATACATACATTGTGGAAAACTAGAATGCAAAAACTGTCCAAAAGCTACTTACAATATTTTCAATAGAGCCGCGTTCGATGCTTCTGATTTTAAGATATCTAGAATATCCACAGCAGCATTGTTGGAGCTCAGATACAAAGACAGGACTGTCCAGTAAGAAATGCTCCTTTTGAATGCTATCGTAAGTCAAATTTGCATAAGAATTTATCAAATCATAAATTAATTAGTGTTCTCCAGGCAAATACAAAGACTTGGGTCTCTGTATCAGCAGCAGAAACTCAGTATAAAAAAATGGGATCAGGAAGTACAATGTATCATAAGGTTTTGGCAAATGTACGACTACAGCTTTATGAGAACGTCGGAAAGATGCATTGTGGCAAATTGAGAACATGATAGAAAAAGTGTATGAATCTCATAAACCACTTCCTCATGAGAGAAATTAGCTGTCTCAAAAACTCTTCTTATATTAACACTGAAGATGAAATTCCAGCTTGTCATTGCTTGGTGGATGCTTGAAATTATTACCTCTTATTTTTTTAATGTCACTGACGAGTCATTTTTGCATTTTGTTGCTTTAATGTTAAATATAATTGAAAATGCACAAAAGGGTTAAAGGGAGGTCAAAGAGGAGCCTTCGTCTGATCAAAATATATAATGCCAATACCATTACACCACTGGACCAAGCCTGCGAAATTTCCCTTCAATGCTGCTTTGAGCATCATTTTCTTCACATAGGAAAAGAAAAGCTAGCAGATTCCCTGCACAGTTTCTACAAGCTTACACTTACAAACTTACAAAGTTACATTTCAAGCTTTTTCTGCACCTTTACAGAATAAGAAACAAGAAACCAAGCCCACATTCATAGCCATAAAAACACACATCCAGTCCACTAAACTAACAACAGAGCAGGGGTGTAATGAGCCATGTTGGCTGGTATAGCTTGTGAGGAAGTTCTCCCCCTTGTGCACTCTCAGATAACAGCAAATAGTCTTTATCTACAAGGAACTGAAGCTGCAGAAACATTTGTTGTCAGAAGTAATATGAAAGTAGCCTGAAAAGAGTGGTATGTGTATCTGGAAATAAGGTTTAAGTTATGTGAAAAATAACTTCTTGTTGTTTGTGGTTGGTTTTTGCACCAACATAGATCTGTGTCCTATTTGTTTGTCGCATCCCAAGTCATCACTCATCATTTTCTCAAACAGTACAGTTACTGCTTTGTTGAAACCTTCTTTTTGCTTGGCTATCTGTTGTCTTACATAAGATATAAAGAACATCACACCAGATTCCATTAAAAAACTGGTGAATTTATAATTGCAACTCATACAAGCTCAAACAGTTAAGTCTCAATATGGCAATCGTTGTGAATAAAGAGGAGCTTTTCTCTACAGTGGCACACATAGGAGTACAATAAAACAGTATTCAAGAACTAAAATAAATTTGATTTTGTTGAAAATTAAAGCAAACTGGCCGTGGTGCAGGGTCAATTTTTGGATGGGAGGAACAGCTTGATCTTTGAAATACAAGTTGACATTTTTCACAAATAAAATAGATTTTTGCTGGATGAAACGTTTGCCGAATGCAACCATGTGTCGATTAAATGAATAATAAACCTAGTCTTCTCGTTAAACCCGTGTACATATTCCAATACCAGCAGCTCCAATTAAAATTGCAAGTTTTCTTAATGAGGTTCGGTCTACACTGACTAGCTGGAGAATAGCCGGAATTGGTCAAAGATGAATTCAGATGCAAATAAGTAAGACACGTGAAAGAAAAAAGGTGCTTTGACTTCCAAGATGCAAAGCAAAACTCGTAATTTAACACAAATACTGACCAATGAGTTTAAGCTTGGCGCATTTGACAGCTGAGATAGGAAGCAGCACTGAATAAACACAGCAAAAAGCTGACGTTTCCTGAAACGCTAATCCCTCGCATTTTTAAGTAAACAGTGATACCCCACGTCAGTCACGGGACTGTATCCACAGGTAAAGTCAAGAATACATCAAAACACCTCTAATTTACTTATTAAGGCGAAAACATCACGACAAAAAGAGGATAACCCTCTGCCTTGACCCCACTTCATTCAAGCAACAAGAATTGCATTGAAAAAGTACCGTTTATAAGTCGGAAAAAATAAGTTTAAATTGTGTAAATTGATAAATTATGACACGACGACATTAGTAACAGCTGTACGTACATGACAGTATCCGCGCTGCCAGGGAAAGGGGGCTGCTCTTTACTGCTCTATGTGCGTCGTTTCTGCTCAAGAATATGGTCCTGGAGACAGGAGAACGCATGCGCAAACAGGTGCAAACACGACGAGGGGGGACCCAATGACGCGAGGGAGAAGCACAGCCAATCAGAAAGACTGTTGAGCTGCGGTGCGGCTTCCCGACCATATAATTAATATGGATGATTATTTCCTTCAAAATAAAAGCATGATGGTTTAAATTCTTGAAAAAACAAACAAACGAACAGATTAAGGGTTAGTTTATTAAGCCTTATATATGAATTATTCAACTTGATTCAATGCATGCCTTTTATGGCTGTTGCTAAGTGATTCAGTCAACGAGTGAACTAAGAAAAGTAAAGGCACTGATAAAGCTTTCACGTACTTTGGAAAAATCTTACTCTATGCACAAGCTTTTTATGATCTGATGCTGTTGTCTCTTTACATCACTCATCTGTGCTTTCTTCGCCCAAACCAGTTTTATTTTTTAAAACAGCTTTAGTCGGAAGTGTCCTTTGCTCTCCTCCAAGTCCTGATAGTAACATTTTCTGATACAGTCGTCCTCATTCCCTGATGTTTGTTTTCTTCGATCATTGAGATTTCAAAAGAACCATTGATTACAAATGTTTAGTATTTTATGCCTTACATTTATGCACATTTATGAATTAGTACTTTGTTTTTTAAATATTTAGAAAATATTATCACCTCATATTTTTACAATACAAGTCTGTTACCCTATAACACAAAAATCCTTGCAAGAAAGGTCCTTTAATTACAACTATATAACAAAATACATAGGTCAAAAAGTTACATAAATGAGATTTGTAGAAATGGGAAAGAATTAAGGCCCATATCAAAACAGAGGGCCATAGGTCTGCAATAATTACAAGAACCATTAGTTATTACCATGGGGACTTTAAAATTTGTTGACATGCAAACTAAATTAAATGATATGACAGCTGACAGAGATCAGTTTCCAGATGTGGCTGCTGCTGCTAACTCTTGTAGCTTCTGAGGAAGGGTGACAGTAGCAAAATGGACTCTGTCCTCCTTCAGTTTCTGTTTCACTGTCTGCGTCAGACCCAGCTCCATGTACTCCTGCTTCTGCCTGTCGTACTGAGGCCAGCTAACCAGATTAGGGCCATCGGGGGAGCTGGGGAGATGAGGGAGATATCAAGACATCCACAGAGGTTAGAGCGAGCTATACAGGAAAGAAATGTCCACATATATCAATGCATGTTTTCAACTGCACATGGTCAGAACTTAGAATGAATATCACTGTATCATACTACATGTATTTATCTGAAACAACAACCAGTGTGGCGGTCATTTTGCACATCCAGTTTTAGATACCCATTCAGCCATATCCATTTGCATTTGTTACATAATAGCCTAAAAGATATCAAATTTTCTCTTAATTTGATCTGCTTTCATGGTGCTCATGTTTTCATAGAAATATTCCTATCTTTGGTTCTGCATACTTGCTACTTTAACTGGGTAAAAATAATTTAAAGATGGGCTTAAATTTTGAACTTTGAAATCTTTTTTTTTTTTTTTTTACAACCCAGCATTCATGTTAGTTGCAGAGGATAGGAGAGTGGATAGAGCAGAAAACTAGGGATGAGTGAGAAATGACTTGCTGGAAAGTCCCACTTGAGGGCTGTAGCCTCTGCACGTAGGATCTGTGTTTGCAGATGACTACTGCCTTAATATCAATAATGATAAATGATCACTGTTATGAATCGATTTAGAATCAAAGCTCTCACTGTGGTTGTGACAGACTAAAATTTACACTTATCCCTCCTTAGGACGCACAAAAGCAAAAGCAGCCATCTGCTTGAAGACTAAATATTTCCATATTGCATCTTTATCACCTGGTCGGTGTGAGATGAGGCCATCAGCATCAAGCTGCCAATAGCCTTTGTTTGCTCTGTCACAGGAAAGACTGCAAACTTATGTACACATATGTACAGTAAAAGATCAGCAAAGAGATTAAACATCTTGTCCTCAAGAATCACACAGGTCATTACACACTGAAAGTTCCTTTAAGCGGCCCATCCAATGCTTAACAACGGCATGTTTAACCCAACAAGGCTGTCATGGTCGGAACATGGTAGATAATCAAGCAGACCCAAAGAAACATGAACTTGATTTTGTATCAATTCAAAGATGAACTAACAGCAAAGCTGAGCTGAAAGTCACAAAAATAAAAAATTGAATGTTGTTGTTGCCTAAACAATGTTAAAGTTCTTGATGCTTACTCACCCAGTGCGGACAAAATTGCCCCAGTACGCCATCATAGTCCTACAGAGGCTCTCATCCTCTTTTGTTATGGTGCCTATAGATAAGACAGGAGGAAGTGTACCACACTGTAAAACCCTTCAATCATCAGATATAAATTGAAGGCACATCAGTGTTTAACTTTTCTTTATTGATTCCACTTAATCTCAGGACCTACTTCTACTTATATTTCGATTTATACTCACTAATCCCCCAAGATCATAAAAATAGACAGGAGCTCATCAACTATAGCATGTGACCTACCAATGATTTTAATATCTCCATCCCAGAAACATCCACCGAACATGAAGCCGACATCATCTGCATGATCTGCCTTCACAAAGCTGGGCCTTTTGTCTTTGTGGATCCCAGCAGTGTAAACAAATTCATACACATAGACAGGAACACCCAAATCTGAGGACACAAAGAGGAAAAAATGCAAGGGCATATGTACTTGTGCAAAGATGTGGTCAAAGGTCATGAGTAAAGTAACTGTGTCGTGTCTCATGCTGGATTGAAATAAGGTTAGAAGAGCTTATAACAAACAATCTGCACTCACATTGACATAATGTAAACATTTAGATGGATTTCTACTCAGACCGGGATGTAAACAAGTCAGATTGATTTCAGATTTTTATTAAAGGTCTCTGAAGACTGTTTCTGACCTGCATGGTAACCGGCTACCTTGACGACAGGCAGTGTCATCAGCAGGTCCCCAATGATTTCTGTGAATCCGTCTCTGATGTCTTCAGGAGTTTTGGCGTCTTTCAGGTATTCATCAGCAATTAGGTTATTCATGATGGGGATCTGGACCAAGGAGAGGAGTTGGACCATCAGATTTCTTTAAGAACAATAAAATATATCAGGGTATGTTGGAATGTTGATACTGGAAACACTGACTGTTTTAAAAACAAATGCACATAGACAGTAACATGATGTGGCCCTGTGGTTCCTCAAAACGTTCTTCAAAACTGACCTGAATCTAGCTGTTTTCAAGAAAATAAAAGCCAAACTAATGGAAAAAAGCATTCGAAATCAAGGGAAAATTTAAAAAAGGTAGAAATTCTAAAATATAAACTTGTCTCCAAATGAAACTTATTCACCTTTACTAGTGCAAATTTTGTAATTTCAATATATTTTTAGGGCTTTTAGGGCAGGAGAGATAGGACAGGGAGAGAGAGGGAGCATTGGCATAAGGGAAAGTAGCCAACAAAGTTTGCCCACAAATAAGGGTCTTTTTAGACCACTAGGCCAGAAGGATGTGCTTGAAAAGAGATTAGAAGATAGTCTCAATAACTTTTTTTGACTAGTAAATAATCCGGATACACCTGAAGTTCATGCTAATGTTGAGCAACATCAGCGTTATACAAATCCAAACATTATCATGTGGAACAAATACAAAAATGAAAAAAGCCTAGAGCTCAATCTGCAATAACAGAGTCCATCATTATGATCAAAAGACAGTAACAGCAGTGACTGAGCTCACCCCTGCAGGATTAAACATGTTGATGACGGCCAGCACAGACTCCCTATTCATCCCCTTCTCCCAGCCAGGAGGAGCAAAGCTCTGTGACACACAGAGGCAGAGCTTCACAGTGAGTTAAACATGAACAAATCACAGACTTTGGGTTCACTGAGAGAGACACTGAAAGCTGTGTGACCAGAGGTAGGATCCATCCAAACTCGTGGTTGGTTATTCCCATCATCACAGGAATCTTCAGAACTTCTTTCCTCTTCAGAAGTTCCTCTGCCAGGTCAGTCAGAAACTCACCATCCACCACCCCTCCCAGGTAGAGTTTCATCTATACACAAGACATTGTGTTACTGATAATGCATGTCAGGGTCAGAGCAGGAGCATGGAAACCAACCAAAGAGGAAATGAAGGGTCGAAAAAGGCTGCCATCTTGTGGCAAAAGTTGGGGGTGACACTTGAAAAACTGATGTAAAATTTTACCTTAACTTTTTACAAATTTAAGACTCTGCAATTCATCATCCAAAGTTTTATCAACCTCAAAACTGTCCTACATTTGAAAGCAAGTTTCCTTAAGTACTACATTTAACAATGTCAGTCCAGATAAAAGTGACCCACAATTTTAAATTCTACTTTTGGTCAAGATAATATTTTTATTTACCATGTGGACACAGACAAAAAATAATTAAATAAGAACATTTTCTCAGTTTGTTCTTATTTTTAGAGGAATTACACTGTAGAGACAGAATTATCCATTTATTGCCCGGCAGAATCAATCATGTTCTATTGATTCAAAGCTCAATACAAGAGTAATACCTGACCTTTTACCTTTTTAGTTACTTCAACTAGTTCCTCTTTACTTGCCCCCCTCATGCACTGGACCAGTTCCTGGGTGCTGCTGCGGTCACAGCCAGTCAGATTGGCAACTATCTGTGAACAAGAAAGAGATAAACATCTTCAAAAACATGAGGATGTAAATCGACAGAGTGGTAGAACAATGTTTTTCTGGAACTCGGGCTCTTGTTTTTCAGCAGCAAATAACTTTAACTTGTCATAGATTTATTATATTTTAATTTTTATTTAACTGGGACAATACATACAACTGAGATATTCTTGGCTGGATAAGGAAAACAATGGCATTATGGTCAGTATTTCAAAAGAAATTCAGACTTTCAAAGCTGTTCGATTGTGGCTCCTGAACTTGCAGGTTTGTTAAAGCCAGGATGGTGTAAAAGATGTGAAAATTGTGGGCATATATTTAAAAAAGAGATATATTAGGACTATTATAGCTCAAGATATGCCAAGGCTAACAAGAGTCAATGGAAGTGGCCTTACATGAAGTGATATTTTTATGTCATGTGAAAAAAAACTTGACAGAACTCTTGAAATTCTCTGTGTCTCAACCCAGTTTTGTAACATTGCCTATAAATGTTACCTTTGCAGTAGCCAAAGGATGGCTGGTGGTGTAGGTTCCAAGTGTTGCTACTCCACTCTGAAAGATTGCCCTGTGAAACAGTCCTTTAGCTTGTGCAGACAGTGTCTGTCCAAAAGAAAGGAAACATATGAATGTATGAATTTGTACTAAAACAGTGGGGACCTGAACATGTTACACTGTGTGATCTGATGTCTTTTGATTTTTGTTAGTGATTGCTGTTTCTTACCAGGATGGATGCACTGATACCTCCTGCAGATTCTCCAGCCACCGTGACACTTTGTGGATCTCCATGAAAGACCTCAATATTTTCCTGAATCCATCTCAGAGCTGCCAGCTGATCCAAGAAACCCCAGTTACCCTGAGCGTGTTCGTCTCCAGTGCTTTAGAACAAGGAAAGTCCAGACCTTAAATTTATGCTTTTATTTTAAACCAAAATGCACAGAGCATCACTACCTGAGGTATCCCAGAATGCCAAGGCGATACTGAATAATGACCATCACGATGTTTTCATAAGCAGCCAATGGAGCGCCATCATACTGAGAAGCTGCACCCATTGCCAGACCTCCTCCATGAATCCACACCAGGACCTAACACACATTGGAGCACATGACACTGGGGATGACTGACCTCTCCAAACAAAAAGAAAGCATAAAAGATTTAAAAAAACATACTTTGAGTATCACAGGCTGCAGAAATTAGATTGAGTGTTTTAAAAGTTGTCAAAAGTCTCAAATGAATTGTCAGTCTTTTTCAGTGCCTCATTTTACTTTGTGCTGAATGACAAAAAAAAATTCATAATAGTTAGCAAACAGTGCTACTGGAAACAGTACTCCCTGGAAGTTTTTCAACCAGCACATAATGACTTGCATTGGGAGTTAAACCATATAAACGATGACATGTTGTATTAATCTGAACCATGATTTTCTGCTTAACTCAACCATGGTTAATAATTACTCAAAATCAGCAATGTATTTTTACACTTGTTTGTGTACACTTCGTACAATTGCTTGTATGGTATTATTTGAAAAATTTCGCAAGAAACTGCCTATTCAACCCAACAAATGTGCTTTGTTCTCATCTACATTTGACAAGGCTGAAAACTTGTCATGGCTCTTCTTGTGTATCTGTACCAGTCATACAAAGACACATCTATTTCAGGGTCTGTTTTTTCCGTTCCAATGTTTTGTGGAAGTTAAGTCTATCAAGGTCAATTCAAACTGACTCACAATAACCGTAGTATGAAAAACATTTTAGTTTTAATTCTTTTCTTGTAGGAGAAAAGGTGCATAAAAGAGCCCCTAGAGGACTACAATACAGTATATTCACTATTCAATGACTGTGAGTAGGAGAGTGTATGCTTGTCTTTCATGGTCTTGATAAACAATCTGCCTCTGGTTATAAAAAAAAACCAGAGGCTACATTTGGTTTAGTTAGCACAACCAACAAAATGAAAGCTAGCATGTTAACCAAGTTGTCCCACCAAGGACAAACAAAGTTGAGTTTCCGTGAAGACACTTAGACAGTAAGGTGAAACATGAGCTAAAGTTCTTATTTGAACAAAGTTAATAAGCAGCCAAGACATTTGACCAAAAGCTCTTTCCTCAGCATGAAGACAGAGGCGGGAAATAAACACCTCAAAGTAGAATTGAAGTGTTTAAAGAATTGAGGAGGCTAAATTACATCCACACTATGAGGGGATTCAGTTTTATCTGTGTCTGTCAATACTGAATGAGTCTTTAACCTACCGGTAGCTTGTCTCCTGATGTCACGTCAGCGGGAGTGTACACATTCAGATAGAGACAGTCCTCTGAAAGCTCTGGTGGGGTGTATTGCATTGACATGGTCTTTGATACATTCACCACTATTTCTGGATCCTGAATACACCTGCGAGCAGAAACAAACCAAAGATAAATGTGTTTCTTTAGGGGGGAAAAGAAACTTGTAAAAGAAAATACTTCTCATCATTTTCTGTTGCTTGTTGCCATTCAGTCTTACATGGGGGGCTGCTGTGAGCCATTCCTCTCCCCCTCCCAGGGCTCTGCATCCTGGGGAGCAGCAAAGCGGAGGGGCCCCACAGGAGGCCGAGCAAAGGGAATTCCCAGGTACTGTTTCACTCTCCTCTCTGTGCCTTTCACTGTTGTGTACGCCCCTCGGATTCGGCCATTTTTCAGAGAAACCACAAGGTTGTCCCCCCCTGCTGGAGATGGAAACTTTTTTTTAAAGACTGCCTGTGTCACTGGATTACTAATTATATATATTCTATGTATCATAGAAGAGAGATTCGAAAATGGAGTTGATTGGGCTCAATTTGAGTGCTGACCTGTTTTGACCTCTTGAAAGTAACATGTTTCATGTTTTTTTGTGCAGCTGTTAAAATACATGAAGCTGTTTCATGCTGCAGGATAGATGCAGAATAACCAATGAGCGTCATACTCTAGATGTGCACAGTCATTCACTCTTTATTTGCTTCTGTCATGGGTGTGGACCTCTGATGTGTATTAAAGACTCCTATGCATTTGTACTTAAAAAAAAAAAAAACTACATGTGATATGCTACATTTTCCACATGTATGGTCATGACAATGTTCAAGGTGCTGTTTGTAGGTAGCTGTGTTTCAGAGTCATGTCAGTCCTCCCCAGGGGAGGCGACAGCTTCTGCAGTCGCATGCTGAAGTGTCCTTGGGCAAGCCACTTGATCCAAAATTGCCTCCAAAAATATCAGTAATTGTTTGGTGTTACAGGAACCACATTAAAGCTCTGATCTATCAGGTTGATTGCAGCTGTTATGTATTATCAAGGAGGTCTCTGTGCAGGTTAAAGTTTACCACAGAGTTCCTGTAAAATGCAGAACGTGAACAGATTATTTCACCCCATTCTTTCTCAAGGTTTCATCACCAGGACACACACTCCCAACATTTTTGCAGTTTTACAGATGGTTGGCTATTTTATCTTGATGGTGAATGACATAATAGAGGCATCTAACCCCATGTAAAGGTACATTTTGTCATGAACTTCAAATCCCACATAAAATCACACTCAAGAACCGTCTTTTTGCACCATCATTATTAAGCGAGGCTGTTTCTTCTTCCGAAGACCCTTCAGCTGGTCAAAAATGTACACTGACAAGACATATGAAAGTATATCATGATTGCCTGCCGAAGACATTTTTCTCCCATAGTTTTACCCCCCACAGACTTATTTGTAGAACCTAAAGTCTTGGGAGGCAGAGTCTTCACTGACCCCTCTCTATTTTCAGAGTTATCTCAGTTTAGCTCCTTGAGTACATTGAGAGTGGGCTGTAAAGCCTTCTTCATGTTGATCTGTCAATCCATTTCTATTTGTATTGGTATAGTATGCCACTTTACACTAAATAACTGCAAACCATATTTTTTGGTATAATGTTTGCTCACATTAATGTTCTTGAGTGTCACTAAATTGTTCTTACACAAAAATTTTACCCCTCAAGCACGATTTAAAAGCCTCTTTAGTGCGGCGCTGACAACTTAAATTATCATTCCACTCAGAGAAAAACTAACGCAGGGTACACTTTAGGTGTAGCTGATTAAAAAATCTGTATCATGGGGCTGTGTTCAAAGTCTTGTTTAGCATCTTGGATACTCAGTTGTTCTCTGTCTTTTACAGGTACAGTAAAAAATCTGAATAACTGGCAATGGCTGGCAGTGCAAGACTGAAGTAGCCATGAAGGAGATCCACCTCTTAGGTATTAAAAGCTCAATCTGTACACTGTACCTCTTCATATTCTTTGTTAAGAGCACCCGTGAGTTTTTGATAGATTATGAAACAGACTGAAATAAACAGTGGTGTTCTCTGTGATTTTAATAAGCAACTGAGATAATTGATAATTGCAGAAACAGCTTTAGTTACTTCCAACTTTTTATGATGAGTGATAAATTTTAGTGGGAAAAAACACAAGGGGGAGTTAACAGAAATTAATTTACACCATTTTCACTTGGATAGGATAAAATCAGCAACTATGCAAAGGTTACCACCTTGTCCACAGGGGTGGCGCCAAAGTCAACGCAGCCAGAAAATTCCTCACAGGAGCTTTAAAGCCAGCCAAAATTCGCACCACAATAATATCTCAATTGTTAACCCACCTAGTATTTGCAGTGACTAAAAAGGAGTGGTTTGCTAATGCCTTCTTCATCCTAAGCTCGACTCTCTGACCTTGTCCAAATTTGCTGATGTTTGTGTGCAGCAAATAACAAAAAACACAAACAAGATAGCTGCGGAAAAATGTCAGACTGGACTCCACAAGTTTGATGTTTTGACAAGACAAAATAGAGTCCTGCATTGTCAGTGTTACATTTCACAGTGCATTTTTTTAATGCATGTGCAATTATAAAACAGGCTTCATTATGATGCGGTGAATCATGGTGTCACCACTGATACATGTACCATTGTTGATTCTGTTGTAGAGGAGATTAGATAATAGCTAAAAACTGTTTTGCAGAGTTGCTGATGATTTGAATATCTTTGCTCCCTGTAGTTTACTTTGCTTTTTTGATGGCTCGCTCCTTTAAACTTTGATTTCTCTGCATTGTAGAAGCCAGTATTTAGCTCTTTTTCAAGTTACAACATGAATGAGTTGGTAGGCTCTGATCATCTAACTAGCTAACTACACTTATAATACACCATAATACAAAAAGCTGCTCATACATACACTAATAAATATACTGTATAATATATAGAATGTTCCAGGATCTTCTTTTAAGCACTTGGCATACCTTTAGTTTTGATTAAAGCACATTTTTTGAGCTGCTTTTGTGGGAATTTTAATTATGAAGATGTATTTAAAGCTGTTTTTTAACTATAGGGTTTATGCACCTCTTGAATGGAGAGTTATTGTTGAGAAATTAGTGCAAGGAAATGTGAAAAATAAGTTACTTCATGGGATCAAAGATATCGTAAAATTGCCTTTGTTTTTTAAACCTTTGAAAATGAAAAAAATGAACAACAAAAAGACCTCTGTGGTTTTTAAACCCTGTAGAACTGAAAAGACCAAGCTTCAGGCTGCATTTTTGTGGTTACTGAAAAGTTGAAAGAAGCAGGGTCCTTTCTAGCCAAAAGCCACAATGATTATTGTTTAGTTTTCTCTGATTTCCTTTCGCCAAATTGTTCCCAAGAGTCCTTGTATACTTAGTTTATGGGAATCAACACAAATGACCTTCGCGTCTATTTTACTAAGCGGCTGGTGCATCAAAATCTCCTTCCCTGACATGAGGCAAAATGTGTTTTCTTACCTGGTGTAGCCTGTGCTACCACTGTCAACACAGGAAGGAGATAAACAAAGAACAGCACTGTTCTCATCCTGACCGGGTTTGGAGAAAAGACAGAAAGAATTACAGTGCTCTTCGAGAGAAGTATCCCCCCGCCCCTGTCCAGGCCCTCTAGGACCACCCCTTCCTACACATACACTCATGTAGCCTACACTATAAATTGTGAACACAAACAAACAAAGTATGGACATGCACTTTCAACCCAAAAGTCCCCTCCCACCCCCCACCCCCACACAGACTACAAACAAACAAGCGCTTATGTCACAAGCACAGGTCAGCAGGAATAGTAGAATCTCCATTGATTTAACCTCTGATGCACCAGAGGCAGAACCCTGACCGCTGGGTCAAAAATGACAAGTCTTGCTCTTTGGCCCTTTCAGCTCAACATATTAACTTCTAGGTTTCGGTTATTTACATGAATTGAATAACGTCTTCACATGATGCTTCTGGTAGTGTTTTTGTGCTGACCTTCAGCAAAAGTACCACAAGCAAATCCTGGATGTTGTTGCTGTGAAAGATTTCCAACTCATACTTGCAGTGTTGACTTAAGCTGTCATCTGAGAGTGAATGGCTTAGAGGTGGTCATAAGTATTTTGATAGGTGTGTGACTTTCCTTATGTGATTTTTTCTCATTGTAAATATGTCCAACAATGAGACCCAAACCAATCATAAGAGAGATAATTTCTGAGTGTGAACTAGTATCAAAGCAAGTTATATGTAAAACAGACCAAGTTAACATGCAGTATGCATTTCACAGACAGATTTGTTAGTACTGTTAATTCAGCAGAGAAACACTGTAACTTTACAGCTTAAATTTGGTATTTTGCAGTCCTGAACAGCAGGGTACTTTTTTTTCTTTTCTGGTAAAAATGTATTTTCTCATGGCATATTCGGGAATTAAACTTCATCTTTGACCGTTTAATTAAGAGTACTGATGTCCCTTTTACTGTAACAGCAGAAATTGTGTTCTGGCAACCATAGCTACCAGTTAATACCCTCTTTCTTTACAGTCTAGCAAAGATGTAACAGCAGAAAAGGATGTACTGTATTAATTACAGCAAAGTTATGGGAATCACTGCTGCCTGTTTTATTACTGTAAAGAAATACACTTTAAACACTGTTTTATTCAACAGTGAATTAAAAAAAAGAATCAACAGTTAAATTAACAGCAAAAGGAACCTTTTTATTCTTGCAAAAATTGTGCATTATTAAGTATCTTATGGAATTAAAGTTGAACTTTTACTGTAAATTAACAGTACTGATGTCCCTTTACTGTTACAGGAAAAAGGTTGTACCAAGCCCCTGCAACCACAGCTGCCAGTTTTATTATTATTATTATTATTATTATTATTATTATTATTATCATCATCATCATCATCATATTTTTTTCCTTTAAGGTGTAATAAAGCTGAAAAAAGGAAAGCAAAAAGTCTGGGTTGAAGCGTTGCTTGAAAATGTATGTGAAAGTGCGAGAGCCTGCTTAGGTATGTTTAAAGTGAACACAACCACCTTGATAAACCTCACTAGTTTATTGTCTAGTAAATTTAACCTGATGATTTTCATTTGTCTCACTGTTGTTGTTGTATTTTTGGAGCCAGAAGTGACCAAATTTGGACAACTAGGTGGAGGATGAGACCGAGAGGAGCAAAGGGTTGGCAAACACTTTGCTATCAGTAGTTCGGTTGGCAAGGTTCATGTATTATGTAATATGGTTGTGATTTTGACCACTAAAAAAAGAGACGGACAGAATAAACTTGAAAGAAGCCTTTAGATTATATGAATATGTTTTCAAGTAATAAATTGATTGAGAATAAGACTTGATTTCATTGGCTTTCTTCACATCTAGACTTCATTTTACAGCCTGCTGTAGTGTTGTAAGACAGGGGCTATAACCAATACATTAAGTCCCACAGTAAACCATGATGTGTTTAAAAATACATAATTTTGTATGCCATTTAAAAGGGCATTCATAGAATCTAATCTGAAACACACGTGTATGACAGTTCTTTACACCAAGAAAGAACTGAAAATTAAAGGCAAATGTGTGTTTCAGGTGCTTACTAGTAATCCTTAGAAGACCAAGTTGATGGCACAGTGAACAGATCTCTGCTTGCTAACCCACTCATTCATGTCAGAGGTCAGGTTTACCTTTCTTTGTTTGCCTTTCTTTGATCAGTACAGTAACAAAATGTTCCATAGGTCGAACAAACACAAAGACCTCTGTGAACTTCCGGCCATACTGTGGCAAATATTCAACCTGCAACACAGATTCACTACAAAGTCATAGCCCCCTAACAGGAGATAATCTGTAATATACTGAATGAGCGATGGTGTAGTGAAAAAAGGCATCTGGGCTATTGTGCAAAGAATGTGTCTCTTGCTGTTAGACAAAAAAAAAAAAAGAAAGAGAGAAAGTTGCTCAGCCTTCCAGTCTAATTTCATAAAGATGAGGTGGAAGAATGAGATAATGTTAGCAGTTGTAGTTGATTTGTGTCTGCTCTGAGGCTCAGTGCAATTATTCTTCATGCCCTTACTGTGTCTTTTACATAGTTTGGGGGATACTCCATTTCTAAAGTCTCCACCTTTGTTTGTGACAAAGCTGTGCTACAAACATCAACCAATAGCACCCTCAGATGTACAGTAAGTGCAGAGGATTTATACAAGAGACTACATCTGAAAATTTCAAAGGCTCTGCAAGCAAGAAAGCTCTGTTTCACAAGTCAACCATGGCTATAAACCCTTACTGGGCATGAGCATAAATTTACCCAAGATTCCTTTATATCCAACAATGTTCTGATATATGACAATGCATTCACATCTTAAATTGACTTAAAGTGGTCACTTAAAAAATAATGCCTGCATCAACTCACATGCACCAGCATCACAATATTCTTTGGTTAGAAAAGCTGCTGATCCATGGACAGAAGCTGAAGTCTATGTTCACCACCCGTGAATTGATCCTCAGCCCTTACTGTACTTGGTGCAAGTCATCCTTCAGTCTCCTCTACAGCATTTCCTGACTCTTTCTTTCCAGCAATCCAATCTGAAAAAAAAAAAAGTCAGAATGGTAATCTTACAAATGTATGGAAGACAAAAAAGGCAATGGATTTTTTTTTTTTTTTAATGCACTGTTATCTCGTGATAACGACCTATTATCTCGTTATCTTGACATAACAAAAATAGTTTTCTTGTGATAACAAATATTTTTTGTTATGTCAACATAACACAGATTGTTTTCTTGTGATAACAAATGAATTAATAGTGTGTCTGCAATATCACTGTTGTTGTCCAATTCACGCATGGCAGTTCAAAGTTCCCAGGTTGAGGTTGTAATACACACGCATGGAGCATGATGTCAGCATTTTCATTGGAAACCCTAGCTTGCTTTTGACAATAGTGACATGGGCGTTTCAGAAATATTCTACATTATGGACGGCGTTTTAAAAAGTTACTGTTTCAGGTCGGTTAGAACGCCATTTCCATTGTTACGATGTAAAGTTACTATATGATATTGAGATATCATATAGTCTGGCATTATCATGAGACATAACAGTTCATTGTCTTCCATAAAAACGTGTTTCTTTGTTTTTCACATATCATTTTAGCAGACAAAATCAGTAGAAAATTAGTCCATATAAAATGAAAATTATGTCATTCTATAAGGTTGCACCATGTGACCAAAACCAAAAATATATGCAGTTGTATTATAGTTTAAGGTGAGCATATCTTTTGTCATGAAATTGTGGCTAGAAAAAGGCCGAATTAATAAAATTGACATGAATTTTGTTGCAGGCCCCTGATGAAAAAAGCAGTAAGGGTCCTGCTGTTGGGTAAAGAGGTGATTTACTATGTGAAACAAGCACTGTGTCCTTTTTAGTTTCTTTTACTTTTGTTTAAGAAACATTCTGATACTTTGTGTTTGTGTGTGCTGTTTTTGTTACAGTTTAGGCTACTTGTAAAAATTTGAAAGACACGTCAACAGATTCTTAATTTTGAAAATGAATTCATACAGAGCTCATTTAAAAGTCAGAGAAATAAGAAAACTATATCTTGAAAAGGATGTTTTCAGTAACATGCTTTCTATGGGAGGATACTGAAGTTGTTACTGAAACCAAAATAAGTTAGATAGAGTTGCATGAATTTGATTAACTTACAAAATTTATGTTGTTACTTTGCTATGCTGCCTTCCTTGACATAAGAACGTGACATGTTTTATTTGAACGTTACTGTACTTTCTCTGCAGCTTTGCAGTAATCTGAAAAGAAAAAGGCCACTAGATGGCAGCAGTCACTTTAAGTGATATAAAGCCGACTCCAGTGCCACTTCATGTTCATGTTCAGGCCTAAGTGTGTGACTGTCAGGGGACAGTATTTTCAAGACTTTTTAATAGCTTGAAAATAGGCTATCTGAGCCTCTTCTTCTAAAACCTGTTACGAAAAAAAAAAAGGATGAAAACTGACACATTTATATCGATGTAAAACAACAGTAATTGTAAAAGTAAAACAACAAAAGGAAAATACGTGTTATAAGGGTGTTTTAATACCTTTCAACACAAGTATGATCATTTACAATCCCAACATCATTCTCTGAAGGAAGGTTTCACAAATGTTTCAGCCTGAGGTCCCGACAATTATGGTACCTGGGGTGGTAACTTGGGGGTGCATCAAAAAACTGAAATGGAAACAAAACACAAAAATAAGACACAACAGCTGAACACTAATAATATGATTTTAAAATTTGACTGCAGCGTACAGAAATCTTTATGTTGAGGGTGTAGCTGTGAATGGACGTATTCAATAGTTTACAAGTAATCTTACAAATGATGTTGACTGACACTGTCCCGTTAACCTTAACTTTATGCACCTTCTTTTTATTTAGACATTTTTTCCCCTCTAAGTACCTCTCATTTTTTGAAACAATCTTTAGCTTCTTTTCTTTTTGTTGCAAAGACTGATACACACTACTTGACACTACGTGATGTCTCTTAAAGAACCCGCACATCTATTCTGGTGAGATTCAACAAGGTTTTTTTTTACTGAAAAAAGCATCACACTGCTGTGGCACTTCATATGTACCCTTGTAATAGAATAGCTTCATCTGAGTCATCCATGCAGGAAACCAAGGCAGTCTGTCCTCAGCTAAAGGAAATCCTGGCTAATCTCAT